TCGGTTCATTTCATGTTGAAAATGTTCTGTTCATAAACCTGGCTTTTGATATCCAAAAAGCCAGATTCTGGTTCATAGACATGCAAAATGTATATGAAAGAATTCAATTTTGTTATTTATGATAAACCGATTTAACTCTTTATTTATCTATTAGAATATCTTAACAGTTACCTAGATAATATTTGATATTTTACAATTTACTGAAACCGGCGTGCAGGGTATTTGCTGGTCGTGTATTCGCTTTTACCTGTTTTCCATCTGCATATTTCTTTTCATGCTCTTGATTATTCTGTTTACTTACTTATTTTTAATTTAATTTAATTGAAACGCCCGCTGGCAACAGTTCATAGAATCTAGATGATAATGTCTGAAAATAGTTTTTTTTTACCATTTCAAAAAATTAATATAAAAATAGTATATAATTATGCCAATAAAATCAGCCGGAGCACCTGTGCACTCTGAGCCTGGATGATAATCCTATGAAGCATTTGTTTGTGTCCAATCAAAAAAAAAAAAAAAAATTAATTATAAAAGAAATTTTAAAATATATAATCAATATTCAATTTAAAACTTACGTAAAGCTTGCATCTATGTAGAAAGCCGTGCACTCTATCTTTTTCAACTTTCACCTTGTGTCCTATTCGCAATCTGTTTACTGGCAGCACGGGTTGTTATACGATTGATCTGCGGAGTGGAGAGGGGGGGGGGATGGCTAATAATAATATATAATAATAATTAAAATATATCATATAATATGCTTAAATAAGTGATATGCCATAAGTTAATATTTCCCTGTACTGAGTTTTATAGAAACTTCTTTACCATGAGAAAACTCTTGTATTATGCGTTATAAAATTTCAACAATTTGTATTTAAAATTTTTAAGTACATTTTGTAATTGAATATTCCTAAATGAAATATAAATTTTTCTTGCTTTCAAAATTGTTCGTAAATCAAAAAAATATAGCTTGCATTGAGTAGAAAATGCATATTAAACGAATTTTCTCACTGGAAGCAAGATAAAAACGTTCTCGCTGGAAAAATATAATATTCGCTGGAAGCAAGATTACTCACTGGAAAAATTTCAATTCAATTTTTTAGTATTGTATTTAAGTCATGCCTTTATAAATAATGAAATATTCTAGAAAAATGTTCCACCAATGAGCATTTAATTCCCAGCTTATGTCAACTTTTGCACATGTTTTGGGTGCAAAATGCTTGTTTTTATTTTTCAACTATTTTCCGTTTTTTTTTTCGAAAGTTTTTATGGAAGGAAATTCACTCTTTGCCACTTGACAAATGATATGATAAGGTGTATTTACTTGGTTTATGGTAAGTTCCCGATTACATAAGTCGCACAGCTCGACTTCCCCTCAGGGAATAACAGGTATAACTTTTATTCAAATATTCTACGATAAGCACTATCATGGAGCTTAAAGGCCCTTTGTGTCAATACGTTCACTCTATATACATATGTATGTAGCTAGAAGTAGGGCCACAATTAAGATACACAGATTGTGCGCTATCCTTGGCACGCTGCCCCCCTCCAATGAAGGTCACAGAGCGCTGACCCACTGAGAGCCTACACACACCAACACGCACACGCACACGCACACGCACACAGTTACATAGTATTACATGATGTTCTGGACATATCCAGCTATGCATCGAGTCAAACATCCGGTACATTGACATTGGAAATACGCACACAACGAAAGTGCCGGCGTGTGTGTGTGTGTGTGTGTAGTCGCATCGCGTGATCACGATAGGCTGCTTGGCGACTAGAAGTAGGTGGCAAATGGAGGAATGTTTTGTTTATCAACTGCTTGTAATTCCGCGAGCAGCGAAAAGAGAGCGCCGAAGCAAAGAGTAAAGAGAGCTGTAAAAAAAACGCAACTCTTAAGTGAGCCGAGGATGGAACTAGAACTTGATGGAAAGTTCGTACGGAAACTGTTAAGCATGGCAAATGCTGAAGCGTAAACAACCGTTACGGCTGATGCTACAGACGCTGATATATTACATCAGCCAAGGAATTGGAATCTTCGGTTAAAACTTGACATCTAACACACACGTTTGCGCGAGCATATTGTTTGGCCCGGGAAATATATTGCATGGGAAGTACAGATTACACAGACACCTCGGCTTATCAGCGGGAAATTAGTAAAAAAAAAAACAAAACAAAACAAAATGCTGAAATTACCGCTAGGAAAAACAACGAAATGTGCACATCATGTTGTCCAGGTGCCAGATAAGCAGCAGAAAAAAAAAAACGCACTTCTCTTCTATTTCTTTTTTTCCATTCTACTTTATATGATAAACTGGAAAGAAAAAAAATGAAATATGTATGTATGTTTGTGCTGGGCATAAGTACGCATTTCCGCGCAGTTCCGTTCAGGTAGCAGAGTCTTGGTCAAATCAAGAAGCAGCAACATAAAAAACAAAAAAAAAAGTGAAAACACGTGTGCGTCAGAGCCGCATAGTGTTCTTTTTTTTGTTCCTTTTCCTAGCAAATGCGTTTTAATATACCATAGACATGGCGCCATTCCAATGCCAGAGAGCGACAACAAGATATTTAGCTTTTATACGTATATATATGTATATATATATATATCGTAGCATAGAGTATATATGTATAAGTAGTATATATGTTATGCCCAGGTACTTTTGTACTCGAGCGAGTTCCTTGAAATTATTTCAAAACAATTTGTTTTCGTTTTTTTTTGTTTGACAAATTGCGTATTAGGCAATTGTTTATCGATTTTATTAGTTATTTAATACACATATATTGCATACATTTGTTTTTTTTTTTTAAGAATTTTAGCTAACTACTTTAAGAATGTAGCTGGAAGTTAATATTATTATACTATATATTTTATGTTATTTTAATTTTTTCAGATAGTTTGCCAATTTTATCATATTTGCTCTCCGTCAGGCCGAATTTTCTAAGATTCTTCAAGTTCTTTGAAACCATTTCCAAGATCTTAAGTTTCGGAACCTTTTTGGAACTGGCATTGAACTGAAAGCTCATGGAAAATGTTATAAGAACTTTTACTCAATTAACTTTGTTGATATATAACAAAATGTTTTCCAAAAAGTACAGCGTGTAAAGGAGCTGCAGCCTTATAGAGTATTTCTTATGGGTTATGCTCTACATTTTGTCTTCACACATTTTGATTAGGCAACATAGACAATGAGTCATGGGATAAGTTTCATCCTTTTGATAGACTTTCGCAATTAAATCCCGAGTTAGCTGAGATAATGTATTACGTATTGGGTTTATGTATGCTTATAGCCATGGAGAGGGCATTATACTTTCTTTATGCAGTGTGTAACGCATAGCAGGGAATATCTGCAAGCCTTTATTCCATACATATATTCTTGATCAGTATCAACAGAGCTCTGCCGTCTCTCCTTCTAGGCAATCTAGTCTCTCAATTCGAAAGCATAGATTCGTCTCTCTGGCAATCCGTCGGATCGGTCCACTATATGATATCTTGAGAATGCTCGGTCGAAAATGCAAAAAACTTTTTGTTTTTCTAGATATCGTATCACTAATATACATAGTTCCTATAGAGCTTGAATCGCTTGAATTCGATTTTGGAAAGCCCTATTGTTTTTAAGATATACTCAACAAACGAGCTTTATTTTCCTCATATATGTATGTATCTGCAAACCCATAAGCTCAAGGTTTACAAGGGTATCTAGTCTTCGGCGTGCCGCAGATAGCTTTAGTTTTTGTTTTGTTTTTGAATTTTAGGCGGCTTTTAATCACAACATTTCCCAAGCGAGTCACAAGTTTTATTTTTTATATTATTGTGTTACATTTAATAAATATGTACATATATATATATGTATATTATATGTATGTATTGTATTGTGTATTGGTGTATTGTGTATTGGAAAAAAGAGGCACGTACGTGTGTGCGATCCGGGGCTTTGCGCAGTGCCCGCCATCTAATGGAAAAGTACGCAGAGCGCAGAGGCGAACAAAGAACTTCGGCGTAAAGCTCAAGAAAAAAAATAAAAATAAATTGAAAATAAATAAAATAAAATTATATACAAATAACAAAAAGCTTAACTCGCGACAGACAGCGATATTTCAAACAGCCGAAGAAAAAACAACAACAACAACAGAAAACAAATTTCAACGAAATTGTTGTTGCCGATGAAAAAGTAAAAAGTACAAAATAAATAAATAAATAATATAACAAAAAAATTAAAGTAAATATAAAAGGAACAAAAAAAAATGGCAATAAGTTCGTTGACGGCAAGCAGCAAAATATCAGCTCAGTCGCTCTGACGCTTTGTCGTTTGGTTCGTCGGATCAGCCGCAAAGCAAAACTGTTGCGCCCAAATAAGTACGTGGTAGATGCGCACCCCGCACCCCGCACCCCGCACACCGCAGCCCACACCCCTCGCCCAGCCAAAGCACGTTCCAGTTTAGTTGTCTCCCTTGGCCGCTTGTGAGCGAACGTCTGCGTTTTGGTTTTGCTCTTAAAAATGGCCGCCGGCCGCATTGAACGGTAAACGTACGCTCCCGCTCAGCCAGCAATCGGTGGACGTCGCCGTTACCGTTGCTGCCGCTGACGTCGACGTCGACGTCGACGTCGTCACGAGCGCTGCTCTGACTATACATAGAGGCGCGCATAGCGCCAGGAGCTCAGTTCTTGCAGAGACTCTGCGCTGTTCAGACGTAACGTGCGACCAGAATATATGTATATACATATATAGAGAAGCAACAAATAAGAAAAGACAACCAGAAAAGACAGCAAATCAGCTCAGCCTATATAATATATATTCAGATACATATATGTATTTAAATTTTTTTGTTCCATGCTACAGTCTTATGTTCCCTGTTGCGCCCTGTAGACAGAGTTTAGCCCCAACTTTTGGTGAACAGTGCAAAAAGCTACTAAGCAAAAATCCATAAAAAATAATTATATATATAGATATATATATATATCTATATATACGCATAAGTCTAAACCATTCGTGTGTGTGTGTGCGTGCCGGAAAAGTGCGCAACGCTTTTCCTTAGATTTTGTTTTGTTTTTTTTTTTTTTTGTTAAACACCTTCGCGCGCTTCCACGTGAATCCAACGGCTTACGAAAATGACGACCAAAATGGCCATAAATGCAAAGGTTGGTAATAACTTAGGCTTAACAACTTTAAGACATTGCAATGTGTGCGAAATGCCAAACTATGTCAAGCTACAAAATACTTATGTATATATCAAATATATTTCAAATTCATGCTCAAATTTTGCGACTGTTTATCAGTCAGCCGGAAAGTTCAACAGTTGGTTCAACAACAAAAAAATTTAATTATTAATAATATTAATAGAATCAACAACTCGAACATTAAGACAAAGTCAAATATGGCAAGAAAAAAAAGAAGTATTCCATACAAATGATAGGAAGTTAAATGAAATATACAATTATGAGGAAAACAATAACAAGCGGGCCTAAGGTTGACACACACAACAGTTACCCTGTAAAAAGCATAACTAACCATATATCATATGCCATAAACAAAGACTTAATCTATTTGTATGAAATATGCATACCAAAAATTTTTACTCACATATATTACTATATATAGTTAAACCGATCTGCCTGAAATATGCAGACCAAAAGATAATCTTTTAGACAGTTTCTTTATGGCTGTCACAACACATTAAAGTCATATTTGGTATACATATTAACAATATAGGAATACAAGTATCTATTTAATTTTAGTAGCTCTAGCTCTTCTAGTTTCCGAGTTCAATGGGTATGTGCCTAGGATATGCTATGAACTACTTTAATGTTGCCATAGAAAGGGAAGTTCTCTAACGGAATGCCCATCAATTATATGCTGGCAATTGCTTTTGATCGATTAACGATAAATATAAGCTTGATTTATGTATCGAAAACAACATTCGAAATGTACAAAATGTACAAAATGTGAATATGTGAATAGCATATCATTCTTCGAGCATTTGCCAAGGTATTAGAAATTCATATTTATTTCTTAATTATGATTCGCCTAAAGGATATCATATATCATGCTTATAACAAATGATTGTTGATATGCTTTTTTTTTCTTTATAAATATGCAATTTCTTTTGATATATCATTAAATAGTTTTGGGTTTTTTTTATGAGTTTTCTTTTCTTGACATGCGGCTTATTTATACATAAATGTTTAGACATGAGACAAACATTGTTATTGCATTCTGTGCGCTTATCGGCTGGGATTTGCTTAATGATAAGCCATGGCACATGCTGGCTGGCTGGCTGACTGGCTGGCTGGCACCTGCCCCCTCACCTGACTAGCCACGCCTTCCGCGTGCCGCCCTGATATGTGTTGTGATACTATGGTGCTAGAAGTGAACAATCGTCCGCAGACAATCCGTCTCCGGTTCGGTCTCCGGGGTCAGACGAACGCGCGTTTTCTGTTTGTGCTTGAACTAGTTTCGAATTCGAATTCGAATTCGAATTGTTTTCGAACTTTTGTGGCTGATGCAATGCCTCTTCGGGGTTTCACACTCTTCTTAGTTTTTTGTTGATGCTGCTATTTACATACATATGTGACAATTTTGGTTTTCCGGCATGAAGACACCGAACTCGACTATTTCATCAGACATACTATACCAGACCATAGATTCATTATATTTATTAATTATATAAGTTTCTTACCAAATCAGTTTGATTGGCAGTTTTGATTAGGCCTGTTGTTGGGCGCTTTTTGAAATGAATTGCGAAAACTCAATAATATGATGACTAAGCTGCTTTTGTGAGCTCGAATTGGCTGGAAAAAAAATATAACTCTGTTTTTTATTATTATTGTTCTTACATATATGGTACTAGGGATTCGAACCGGCGGACTGCCTGCTTAGTTTTCGAATATGCAACGTTAAACTAAGTAGCAACAAATTAACTTGGATTCGGATTTGAAAGTCTGTAGAGCCATATAAGAAGAAGAGACAGAAGAAGCATATACTAAGAAGTTAAGCTGCTTCTCTCCAAGTTGTCCAGAGCTTTCAAATTAGATTTTGAGTTATGTAAAAGAAGTTATTTAGGTGCGAGTATAATTAAATTTAATATCTTTTATATATAGATATGGTTATAGAGCCGAAAAGTGTGCGTTAGTTTCTCTCGCTTTCCCTTCAGATTTTGGATAAGTTTTCGTTTTGTTTTGTTCGTAAAGTCAATGCTCTAGCTAATCAGGCGCATATGGCATTTGGTTACGATCGAGAATAATGATAATGCTAATGCCTGGAATTAGTTACGATCCGATATAATGCCTGACTTTTGTGTACTTTGCGCAATTGGCATTTGAAATTAGAGCTGCCCGTGGCCCACATTAGCACGCATTAGCGAGAAAACCTATACACCTGATCTATATACTTACATACATATACATTTATATATATACCTGATATACATACATATATGTATGTACATATATACTTGCTAGACAAAGCAGAGTTCTAAGCGACGTCTTGAGGTTGTTGAACGGCTCTCATATCGTATATATGTATGGATACTATACTCTACTCTTTCTCTACTCTTTCTCTACTCTCCTCCCCTCTCCTCTACCCGCCTCGTGCTCGCTTTCTGTGCAGTCTTCGGTCTGGCTCTGCTATGCAAATGGCAAGGTTCGGGTTCGAGCTGGGGCCAAGTCCCCCACTCGTAATGCCTATGCAAAAAATTCGGGTCTAGCCCGATTAGCATTCAATTTTGAGCAAATGCTAATTGCCAGTGCCCAAAATAAAACCTTCTCGCCCCAAAACAGGTGTAAAACAATTTGACTTTTAGATGCGCCTAATTTCAATTTCAACTTGTTGATACAACAAAAAAAGCTCCACAGAACTAATATTACGTATAGAACGGAATGTTAGGGTCAAGTATAAAGTGTGTTACAATAGAACAATAGAGTACAGTATCTGGGAATACGTTATGATTACGTTATTATGATAATATGATAGGGTATATAGCTAAACAAGAGTTAGTCGAGCAAATTGAACATTCAAAAGTATCTCAATATATAGTTTGATAAGAAGTGAGACAAGTTTTCGAATAAATCGAATATTTCGGCAGATCGAAATATATATAGACTATGACTTGAGCTAAGCTTCAAATTTGCTGTTGTCCTTGCAGGATATATTCCGCAACCAGCATCGCCTGATACGCTTCATCGAGCAGTCCATACGGCTGTGCAGCAATCAATCCTTGAAGACGGCTCAGCAGCAACAGAAGAGCACAGCGCCAGACTTTGAGATCAGCGCCTCGGTCAACACGGAGTACACACATGCGCCGGAGCCGATCAAGCACGACAAGGATCTGGGCCATTTGTTCAAGGCATCACAGCTGGCCGTGCGGCTGGCGACGCCGCAACAATTGCAGCCCAAGCCGGACAACGATGAGGAGCTCGGCTTTGGCAAACTGTTTACGGATCACATGCTCAAAATCTATTATCACAAGAGCCTGGGCGGCTGGCAGAAGCCGGAGATAACGCCGCTGGAGAATCTGGTCATGCATCCGGCCGCCAAGGTGCTTCACTATGCCGTCGAGGTGAGTTATCAGCCACATCACATCATCATGCTCCTCATCACCATCATCATCATCATCATCATCATCATCATCATTGTTATCATTATCATTATCGTCTGATCCCAGCTGATTGGCTTGTGCTGTCTCATCGTTGTAGCTCTTTGAGGGCATGAAGGCGTACCGTGGCATCGACGGCAAGATTCGCATCTTCCGGCCGGACATGAATATGGCCCGCATGAATTTGGCCGCCCAGCGTTCCGGCTTGCCCACATTCGAGGGCAAGGAGTTTGTCCAATGCCTGTCCCGTCTGCTCTCCATTGACTCCGAGTGGGTGCCACACACAGAAGCCGCCAGCCTTTACATCCGACCCACATTGATTGGCATCGATGTGAGTATCCGAGTTAGCCTTAAGCTTAAGCTCCAGTTCCAAATTCAATTCGAAATCCTTTGGATATCCTTTTGCAGCCCACATTAGGCGTTGCCTCATCCGATTCGGCGCTGCTCTACTCCATACTCAGCCCAGTGGGCAGCTACTTCAAGACTGGCAGCAACGGCGCCGTCTCCCTACTGGCGGATCCCAGCTACACCCGCGCCTGGCCCGGCGGCGTTGGCAATCGCAAAATGGGCTCCAACTATGCACCCACCATCAACGTACAAAAGGAGGCAGCCGCACGCGGACTGCAGCAGGTGCTCTGGCTCTATGGCGAGGATCATCAGCTGACCGAAGTGGGCACCATGAACATCTTCATGTTCTATGTCAACGATCAAGGAGGTGAGTCTCATTTCCTAGTCTCCTTCCTTCCTTCCTTTCTCTAGTTCCATTCATGTTTTGAGTTCAAGCTTTTCTCGTTTTGCAACACTAATATACATTATCTTGGCATAGTTTTTGCTTATCTATCGATGAATCTAGCCTACCTTATTGTTGCAGACGAGAAATGTATCTGTTCTTTTTGACTTTTCTCTTCATTTGTATTTAAAGCAGGTTTCCTTAGGGCAATTGAAACACGTTTCGCAACACTGAAATGCTAAATAGATTCCGGCTTGTTAAAAAAAAACTTATCAACGTCTGTCTGACTTTTCACATTTTTCATTCGTACTTAAAGCAAAGATCTTCGGTTTTCATTTTCAAAACGTATTTATCCTCTTTTCCTTTCGCATTTGTATTCATTTAAAGCAGGCATCTTGGGAAGCTTTTGCAACACTGAAGTCTGATTTATCGATAAGTTAATCGATAAATAATTTCAGTTAAATTTAAAGATACTACATAGTTGTGATTGTGGGGGGGAACTGTTTCGATTATAATTTTCAAGCCTTCCCATTATAATTGTTTCCATTTTGTTATCTGTTATTGCAGAACAAGAACTGATTACCCCACCCCTGAATGGTCTCATACTGCCGGGCATCACACGCGACTCGATTCTGGCCATGGCCCGACAGTGGGGCAAGTTCAAGGTGCGCGAGGGTGTCTTCACCATGCCCATGATTAGCGAGCTGCTCAACCAGGGACGCGTAAGTAGCCAGCCCTCGTTTGCTTCAGCTTGATTACCATACTGATTCTCGAACTCGCTTCGCTTTTTGCAGCTGCTCGAACTGTTCGGCACGGGCACCGCCTGCGTGGTTAGTCCCATAAATCGCATCAACTATATGGGCCAGGATCTGTATATACCCACCATGGAGCAGGAGAAGCCCGTGCATGAGCTCATACGCGAGACACTCACCGATATACAGTACGGCAAGGTGGACCATCCCTGGGCCGTCGTAATTGACTAACCAATAGATGATCCACACGTGAAAAGCCCAACCAGCAGCACCCAACTGGTCCTAGTTGTGGGTCAGCACAGTTGTGTATTAGTAGGTTATAGTTCCAACAGTTTACAGTTTCTGGGTTGCCGATGTGCTCGAATTTTTTGTCTGTTGCATTTAACGAGTGTTTGCCTAACATTCGATCTATACGTAAAACGCATATACATATAATACACTATACTATATACAATATACATATACATATACATATACATATATATAAATACATGTATAGCTAAGTTAAGGGCCGGGCTTTGCACCCATGCTATATAGTTACTATATATCATATCTAGCATTTTTCGTATAAGACGCACTTTATTTTTAATTCATAATTTATTTATGCCCCCTATTTTTTTTTTTTTGTTTGGCTTGTCCACACTATTATTATTTTTACAAAACTACTTTATTCAGTTCAGGATCAGATCAGAGACAAAGCAATTATGCTAGTAATGAAATTTCATTAAGATTTATGAATGCCTTTTGCATGCTTTTACTTCCAAATCAAACGAATCAAACGAATCGAAAGCACAAAAACAAAAAAAAAAAAGAATATAAATAAACCAAATGTAAAACAATAAAAAGTGAGAAATGCTAAGAAAATAATTTAATTGATAGCCAAAGTTAGGTTCAGGAACTGCCAAAAGGCGCAGACCTAAAAAGAGAGAAGAAAAACAAAAACAACAACAACAAAATCTAATTAATTTTGGAAACGTACCGGAGGCAAATGCATTTATTAGTCAGTAAGTTGCCAGAGTCGAGTCCAAGTTTAACAAAAGCGCTAAGACACATTTCTGGAATGTATTTTATAATGTTATCTGTTTGTAAAAATGTTGGAGGTAAAAGCAGCCAGGTGTGCTGCAGAGCAAGCTGTGACTAAACTATTGTATCTAGCTGTTAGTCAAACAAACTATGTATACTAAAACCTATATGTATACGAAAACTAAACTTTGTCATATTCTTAAAGCAAATCAAAGCATAATGAAAAATATAAAATAAATAATAAACCAACGCCTAAAGCGAGAAAAACAAAAAGTATGTGTGTTTAATTTAATTAAATCCCAAAATACCGTACTCAATTAAAAAAGTTTATATAGTTATAGATAAATTAAATGTATAATATGGGAATTTATATCTATCTAAAGGGGATTGTCAGCATTGTGAATCCGCTTCAATCTGACAGTTTATAATCATTTAAAAGTCATTTGCTGCAAAGAGCATGAGACGAAGCATAAGCTGAGAATTTGAATTTTTTAACGAATTATTTAAACAATTTTTTTTTTAATTTCGCACAAATTTAAGTGCAGCACCAAAGTATGCAACATAAAATTTGAGTTCTTTTGCTGTCACAGATTCCACACCAACTAAACATACGTGCCACAATTGATCTCGAGATGCTATCAGCTTTTGTCAGCAAGCAATTCAATAGCAAAAGCGCGAAAGTATGCAACATAAAATTTAGGCACACATTCCACAATTCCTGCCGACATTTGGTCAGCTTTTGTCAGCAACGATTAAAACAAACACCGCAAAAGTATGCAACGAAAAGGTACAATTTTGAGGCTGCCAGACGGATTTCATGAATTCTTAGTTAAAATAATAGAAAATAAAAGTTATTAATAAAATGAATAAATATTAAGCTAAAAGGCAAGACTGTAATTATGCGCACAGAAAACATGAATGTGAATTAAGTCTTCACAGATCGCAAAACTAAGCTTCAATCTCGTTCACTCTGTAACCAAATGTGCTCTTTTTTTTATACACCCATAAAAAATGGGTAAAAAGGGTACAATATATTCGTGCAAATGTATGTAACAGGCAGAAGGAAGCATCTCCGACTCCATAAAATATATATATTCATGATCTCGATCAATAGCCAAGGAGATCTAGCCATGTCCGTCCGTCCATCCGTCTGTCCGTCCGTCCATCCGTCTGTCCGCATGTCTAATCGCCAGAATCTCAGAACCTATGAATTCCGAAATCGGACATTATTTGGCCGAGATATTCCAAAAAAAACATCAAACAAGGTTGACTTTACAAACGAATCGGTTTTGGGTCAACACTCTTTTTAACCCATCGATTTTTAAAATAATTGAATGCCAATTGATAATAGGGATCCGAACGGGGATCATTTATTATAAACAAGTTACTACTACCTAATATTGGCAGCTAAAGCTAGTTATACTTATATAACCAATTATTCAGTTGGTAAGTTCTGCCGCAGCCTAAAAGTATGCCACAACATTTGGCAGCACAAATTTAAATTTGAGGCCTGCTCCAATTACTAGAGCCCGACTAGGGGATGCCCTGTAGCCAGCATAGAGCACAGACTGTGCAGAAAGATAGAGAGAGCGAGAGAGAGAGAGAGAGAGAGAGGAAAACAAGAGTTAATTGCACGTACAACAAATATATATGTATGTATTTAATGAGTCTTGGGAGCCAGCAATAACTGCCTGAATAATTTATAGTTCTGTGTGGAATAGTTGGTGTATACACGGAACCAGTTGAACCAATTGATAAGCTACCTAGCCTAGTCCAGTTTACTTAGTTAGTTAGTTAGTTAGTTAGTTAGTTAGTTAGTTTGACTGTTTAGTGGGTGTGGGTGTCCTCACTGTTCAAGCCGCATGCGGGCAGATTGAAGGTGAGGCGCTCCACGTGGTTTAGCTTGCAGGGTCGCACCTCGTCGATGATGTCACGGGTCTGGGAGCGAAGGACACGCATGCGCTCCTCGTCGATGCGACGCTCCATCTCTAGCTCCATGTCGTGGAGTGCCTGCTTGATCATGCGCTCCTCCTCAACAGCAGCGGCACGGACTCGCGCATTGTTAACAATGTCGGCGGCGATGCCGTCGTAGGTCTTCACGGTGATGGCATGGCTGGCGGCCTCCTTTTCGCTGGCCTGTTGGTATTGGCGCTGCATGAAGCTGGTCGCGTCGGTTGTGATTGTCTTGGTGAGTGCCTCGTCCTTTTCGCGATAGAATTGCTGCTCCTTGCGCTGATTGATCAGATCCTTGGCCACCTGCAGCTTCTGGTTGTGGCGCTTCTGTATGTCCTGATGGGCGCGCTTCTTTTCGCGCGCCTGGCGCTCGCATATCAGTATGTCGGCCAGCATATTGTCGCGCGCATCCTTCTTGCCCCGAATCTCGCTGAGCTCCTGGCCGAGCCCGTCACTGATCAGGCGACGCCGCTCGATATCATCGAGGCGACGCTGCAGCTCCTTTTTGATAAAGCTGCCGGTGACGGGGCCCAGTGCCTCCATCACGATTACATCCAGCTTGTCCGGCTTGTCGGGATTCGCCTCCCGTATGCTGCGCTGCAGCGCCGAGAACTCGTCCAGCATCTGCTTGAGCTCGGTCCGCTTCTTGTTGCGCTCCTCGACCGCCTGCTGCAGATCGTTGGCGTGCGCCATCTCGTCGTTGTGACGCTTCTGGCGCCCCTCCTCCAGGTCGGTCAGCTGCTGTTGTTCCCGTTCCGCCTGCAGCTTGCGTATCTGGGCGACCAGCTGTTCGCTGTAGTTGTGCGCCTTCTCGTGCAGCGCCCGCTGCTCGGCCAGCTTCTCTTCGCGCACCTGCTCCCTGTGCTCCAGCGCCTCCTTGCGCTCCTCCGCACGATCCGCGCCGTGCTGGCATATGTTCTCGTTGCGTTTCTTCACCACGCTCAGCGTCGTCTTGGCCCGATCGATTTCAATCTTGAGATCGCGCAGCCTCTGCGAGTTATCGTGCAGCTGCTTCCGGCGCATCGCCTCCGCGCATTCCCGCCTATTATGCTCGGCCATCATGCGTGCGATTATCGCCGACTGGCGCTCCCGCTCCTGTATCGGATGATAGTTCTTGTTGCGATCATCGGCTATCTGCTGCACCTGGTATTTCACCTCCCGATACAGGTGATTCGTCGACGTCGACGCGGCCAACACCAGCGGGCAGGCATCCACCTCCTTGGCCCGATCACGATCGCCCGGCGGCAGACGCTTCAGGCGCCCCAACATATCACCCACCGGCTCCTGCGGCACTGTCGCGAACAGCGACACGCGCGGATCATCCCAGGCGCCGTATTGTATGCGCGACGGCTCGATCCGGCGGCGTCTGCCTCTGCGCAAATTCTCAGCCATGGCCTCCGCCTGTCGCCGACAGCCGATCGAAACCAAAATCCGCGTTTTATGTTTTGCCTTGGTGTTTTTTATTTTTTGCGATTCCTTTCGTTAGAGCTCCGTATTGTGTTTTCGTATACCTATTTTATTTTTTTGTTGATTTTTATTTTTGTTTTTGGAAAGCTCTTACTCTCGAATCATACGAACTAACTCCTAGGTGTGTGATCGAAACTGAACGAAACGTGCTGTTGAACTGATTCTCGCATGGCCAAGGCCCACTCACTTCTATGGATTGACAGCTGTCGAACGGGTAAACCTGTTCTCCATCTTCCACAAAATTGAACCCCTCAAATATATACATATATGCTTGATGTCGCTACCCACAGCTATACAATATTGGCCTATTATGCAGACTTTACCAGCTGTATATTTTCTGCAAAAATCCAATTTCTGTGTGAGCGCTCCTATAGAATGCGACTAAGATTTTGGTGAGTTCAAAGCAGTTACATATTTCAAAACCAGTTCTTAATACCTAGATTTTGGATCAGTCGTGCATATATAATATAGTGGGCCGATCTAGTTCGTTTCCGACTAGAGCTGCTGGACGGGCGGGTTTTATAAAACAAACAAATTTGTATATCAAGTCCCAAAGCTAAGCGATTATTGTATGAGTACAGTATTTTGGATGTACATAATTTTAGGCCAACCAAATATGATTACGCTTTCTCGAATATTTTTCTAAACATAAACGAAATCTAGCACCAAATTTGTTGCCCCTTTGGTTTAAAAAAATTGATTCGTTTTATTCTGATTATTAGATTTGCAAGTCTCTGACATTGCACAAGGGTGGCAAGGCCGCAGCTGTCATATGTGCAATGCATGACAGGGTGGCAGCACTGGCATTCAAATATCTTAACCTATATTATATATGCCGCATGTGAAAGTGGCCGCTAACTTTACCAGGCACTTGATGACTCCAGCCCCTAGATAACACGAGACGAGATTAAATCAAAAGGGTTTCATAACTATTATTTTGTATACACTTAGAAAATAATGTTTTTTATTTGTAATTTCTTGTATTTTCAAATTTATAATTCAATTTTTGTTGTACAACATTTCGCAATTTGACATTTGACTTGAAGTTTAAACATGCATGTTTTGGTTCGGCTAGGATTTTTGAATGTTTTGTTTAAATAACTTTTTCAAAGTGTTTACAATTATAATGTCGCAATGTCGCATAGCATACTTAGTACTCGCACATACACATTTAAGACTAGTAAGAAACACTATAGTCGGGCACTGCACGACTATGACCACACCCTGTACTCAGTTCAGGGCGCTAACACTAAGCCAGACTGTACGAACAAACTGTTAAATATACTAGATGAAGTACAGATGGGTATGCTATATTATTATAGAGTAGTGGGGCTTATTGGAACTCCCTTTCAAATGGTTGCTACACATTAAATTGCTGGACTCTAGATTTGTTACGGACATACGATTTACGTAATAGTTTTATCGGGCCTCCTATATGTTCTATACTCATAGTATATGCTAGAATTAGGCTACTAAATTGGGGGGCTTACAATGTGTGTATAATACTTTTAATTATAATTGAAAACATTTTGTTAATTTGCTTTGCTCAAGACAACATATGGCTCTTAAGTTTAATACTCGATATTTCTGGATGGACCATAGCATTCAATGACGGCAACAACTTTCATTGGCAGAATTTGGAGACTCCTACCCCCCCACACCCCTCTCGATTTACTTGTTAGTAATCAAAAAATGGTGTATAATATATTTCTAATTTATAATTCTCAACTCGTGTCGACATGCGCAATCTATGCGTATAGCTCGCTCGCTTGCTCTTTGTCTCATTCTTTGCCTTGTTTCCTGTCTCTTTCACAATCGTGTAAGCTCGGACTTCATTTGTTTTTTGCTTCTTGTCAAATTTGTAATTTAAAAGTTGACCTTTGCTGCACATGCGGCAGTGAGCGGAGGGCTTTCACTTACTGTACTTAAAATCTCAAAATTGTATGCCCAAAGCAACAATTCGAAAACACATTCAATATAATATATATACAAATTGTTTTGATAAAAACTGGAAACTATGCCGAAATTGACTGAATGTGTACTCAATTCTACAAAAACCTAACTATAATTCTTCCGAATAATGCCAAATATTAGCATATACATATATATATATAAATAGCTATAGATATTTATAGGTATTCCCCCAATTAAGATGGGGCTGCTGTGGCTAACAAGTTCTGTTTTATTACAACTTTACTTTTGTAGTGAGATCTATTTAGTTTTTATCTTAACTTTATGCTAGGCTCAGATCTAATCGAGAATCTATTCGAGATCTAAAAAAAAAAAAATAATAATCGTACAATTTGGCTGGAATTGCGCATGTGTTGCAACTGTTATCGATCTATCGATAAATCTTAATCAATGTATATAAAAAATTAATTATTATTTAACATAAATGTAATTTGTTTAAAGCATAACAAAACGAATACTCTGTTAATTTTGATTTGCTTGTTTTTGTTTGGAATCAGACAATTGATTCGCTTCTTGCATGCACGATAACGATAACGATAGCGATAACGATGATGATAACGAACCGATAACGATAACGCAACGATATCGATAGCTCGTTAAAGTGCGACTTTTCGCTCTCTTTTCACAACTATGCCCAACTATGCGATCTACTTGTTGTTGTTCTCCTGCAACAGATCCTCGAGGGCACCATTGAGCCGACCCTTGCTGAGCGCCTCCACGAGCATGTGCAGCCGCTCCTCCCGCTCCGAATGACGCCGCTCGAGCAGCGACACCTGAAATGGCAAAAATATATCAATTAAAGGGCATCGCTTGATCCAATGCTGCCCACTACCTTGGCCTTCAGCGCATAGTAGTCGACGGGCACCTTGCGGCGCTTCTGTGTGGCAAACGCCTCCTCGCGCTCATTTAAACGCTGCTGCAATATGCGCACCGTCTCATTGCAGGAGGCCAACTCACGCTCATGTGCGCTCTGCAGGGTCTTTAGCTATGGAGAAAGATATGGGGGAGAGAGAGAGAAAGAGAGAGGGAGAGAGAGAGAGAGAGAGAGAGGGATGGAGTTTAAGAACGATCCCATTGAACGGGATGCAACAAGTGGCACTCACATCCTGCAAGCGCTTATCGTGCAGCGTTTTGTAGTCCGCCTCCAGCAGATGAAACTTATTCTGTGCCTCTTTCAGCGCCTGATTCTCCGTGGTCGCTGGCACATGATCCGGATAATGCTGATGATAATGATGATCGTGTCCACGTCGCTGGGCGGCGCCTCCACTGGCCGACACGCCGCCGCCGCCGCCGGCGCCGCCATGAAGTTTATTCTCCAAACGCGAACCTGAAAGAGTATAACAATTTTGTTAAAAATAAATGTTAATTTCATTGAATAAATGCTAGTTGCAAAACTGACTCCATCATTTTTTTCTACACAAAGTTAGTTTTTATGTTGATTATAAATTGGTCATAAAATGTGCATAGAGCATATATATATTCCTGATTAGCATCAACAGTTGAGTCGCAATGGCCATGTCCACCTGCCTGTCTGTCCATCTGTCTGACTGTCTGTCTGTCCCTCAGTCTGTTTCTATACAAAATAGTCTCTCAGTTTTTAAGATATCGTCATGGAACTTTACACAGGCTCATCATTTTGTTATAAATTATGTGGCTGAGATGGAAATGATTCGTCATGAAATGAAATGTAAGATATCTCAGAAAATCCCCTGGAATTAATGAGTTTCAGTGTACATTTTGTATATGTGTCACATCTAATCAGCATCAGACTGTGTCTACTAGAAAGAATCGATCGACCAAAGTCAGCATTAACGTACTTCACTCTGCTCCTCACATATCTATAATTCTGCAAGGGTATTTCATATTCGGCCTGCGAGAGAGGTTCTCTTTTTAGTTCTTATCGATCGTGCTCTTAGCAACCATTTGAAAGACTCATCTGCCAGGAACGACGAACGTAGAAACACAAGATACTCTGATAAAATGTTGAAAAGGTAGTATGTATGTACATATACCTATATATACCTATACATATACCTCTTGAAAACATATCTCTGAAGAAAACTGGCAATAAGCGAGCATCTCTATATATCTATGCAAATATAAATATTAATAAGCACTGCAAACCCAATAGAATGATCAATTGTTCGATTTACGGTTCGAACCAACTTTCTTTTTAGATACTTTAGGATCGATGAGCGAAGTTCTCTTAGGTTCAGGTTTGCTTGTCAAGTCTTGTTTTCTCATATATTTTCTCGACTTTAACGAATTGTTTCAATTGTTTTTAATTTGTAGTACGCCCGTTCTACAGGAAATATTCGGACTAGATTTGATCTTTGCCCAATAATTAATATCTAACACTTATTGTTAGATACATCGAATAACTAACTTATGCTTTGATGCTGAGCTTTTATATTTAAATCAAATCAAATGTGGTTAAAGGTTTCATAGAAGCCTTGATGTATATTGATGGAAAAGAGCTCTGAGAAGAGCAAAATGCCAACCAAAAATCTGGCTTCCTAAATTGGGAACCAGTTAACATTGCTCTCGGATACGTGGACTTGATTTAACAGACATACAAAGTACTGTTAACTAGATTAAAGTGTACTGTTAAATTTGTTAGTTGAAAGAGTGGCTTGAGGCTTGCTCGGTTGAGGGTTCAATGCACTGTCGCAAAAATGTCGTTCAAAGCGAAATTTTCCACAAATTAAAAACCCAAATTAAATGTAACTTTAAAGAAACAACAACAATAACAATAATTAATAATTAAATAAGAGTCTGAGCCGGATTGCATAACCAACAAAATTTGCATTTGAACACGCGTTGAAAATTAAAACAAAGTTGTTGTCGTTGTTGTTGTCGTTGTCGTTGTTGTTGTTGTTGTTGTTGTTGTTGTTGTTGGGCTATTATTAGCACTAAGCGTGGTTGTTGAAAAATAAATAAACAAGCAACAAATGTAACAACATTAAAGAAGAAGAAGCAGCAGCAGCAACTAACGAGACATGAAATTATAAAACTCTGCGCGCATGCGCAAACGACAACGCGCTAGCCACGCCCCCTGCCCCCCTGCCCGCCTGCCCCTCCCCCGCCAACTGAGCCGGGCCCGGGCCCGGTCCGCCACGCAGACAACGTCTTTGACTTTGACTTTCGCTTTCGAATTTTCTTTTTCTCTTTCTCTCGACAAAATACAAAATAAAAAACTAAGCAAAAAAATTCAAATCGATGAAATGTAAATAAAAAACGAGTTGCCTCACGCCAACACCCCCTTCCCCCTCCCCCCCGCACAGGCAGGTGACATAACCAAGTGGCCAGCAAGCAGCGGCGCGACAGCGGAAAGGGGGGGGGGGTAAAGCGAAGCTAGGCGAGTTGTTAACGTGTTTAGTTTTTGTGGCTGGCGAGCGTGGAGCTTGGAGGTTGCCCATTTCAAATGAGTGCAAAAAAAAAAAAAAAAGTTGTTGCGGTCAAAAGGCCGCCAGCAGCTGCTCAGGTGGGCAGGTGGACAGGTGGACAGGGGGCGGGGAGGGGGGATGGGGGCTAGGTTTGGACAGGCATGCAATGATTTATTCCAGCAATTTATTTGCGTGTCTCTCGTCGCGTCGCGTCGCGTCTCTCGAGTTAAAGTCTTGTACGTGCTGACGAGCAGAGAAAGTCCATAAATTACAAAACAACAACAACAATGACGACGACGACGACCGAGTGACACACACACACACACACACACACACACACACATCTGTCGCTGTGTATACAGCCAGGCAGCATTACCTGCAGCTGCAGCTGCTCCCACTCCGGCATGCTCCCGTTCCCGTTCCCGTTCCCTTTCGCGTTCGCGTTCGCGTTCCCGCTGCAGCTTCCTTATGGTCTTCTTGCAATCATCGAGCTCACGTGTCAGCCGCTGCATGGCCTTGTTCTTTAGGGCCAAATCGATGCGCATGCTGCGCACCGAGCTGAGCAGCTGTGTGTCCTCCTTGTGGCCCGCTGCCTGGAGATGACCATGGCCATGACCAGCGCCAGGGCCAGCGCCAGGGCCAGCGCCAGGGCCAGGGCCATGGCTGAGCAGCGACAATGTGGACTCGGACTGGGAGATGGGCAGCTTGGAGTTGCCAATTGCCGGATTGCGTCGCTGTCCGCCGCTCTGCTTCGAATTGGGACGCGACGTGTTCGGCGTCGAGTTGGCCGTGCTGCTGGTGCTGCTGCTGCCGGCCGAGTGCAACTGCTGCTGCTGCTGCTGCTGCTGTTGATGGAGCTGCTGCTGCAGATGCTGCTGGCAGCTGATGCTGGGCGAGGGGCAGCCAATGGTGTTGGTGCTGTGATCGCGCATGCCGCCTGTGTGGCTCGCCTGTGTCTGGGTGCCCGTGTGTATGGCGGCCTTGATGTGGCCCACGGGCTGCGGCCCCGTCTGGGCGACGACTGCGTCCGTTTGGGTGCAGTTGTTGTAGTATCTGTCGGCGCGCTTCTGCATGAAGCGATCCAGTGTGCGCACCTGGGATTCAATTTGCTCGTTCAGCTTCGTGTTGATCTCCTGCAGGCTGCAGGGCGCAGGGCGAAGGGCGAAGGGATTGGGGATTAAGACTTGCTGGAAAGTCTATGACAGCAGAAGCACACTCACCTGAGCACCTGCGTCTCCAGGTCGGCAATGTGCGTCTCGTATTTGGCCTGCACGGAATTGAAGCGCGCCTGCACATTGGCCAGTATCTGCTGTGCCTTGCGATCCTGCTCCTTGGCATCCGACTCCAGCTGGGCGATGCGCTGCTCCAGCAGCTTGCGGCTGTTCACATTCTCCTGGTCGTTCAGCGAGCAGATGCCAGTGCTCTTCGAGGCAACTGCAAAGCAAAGCAACGCACACACACACATCGAGTAGCTGGCGGGGATTAGGCCCGGTCTCACACTCACCTATCAGCGCCGACACCGAGTCGGGATGCTTGCGCATGAGTATGCGCTCCATTTCGCGGCACTGCCGCTGCAGATCCTGTATGATGCGTGCATCCTTCTCCTTGCCGTCGGCTGCGTGCCGGCGCTCCTGTTGCGCCTCCTCTAGCTCGGCGCGCAGTGAACGCTCCAGCTGGAGGGCCTCGTCGCGATCCCGGCGCGCCGACTGCAGTTCGCTGCGCAAAACGCCGGCGCATTCGTGCAGATGCTGCACATCCAGCTTGAGCATCTCGGACTCCTCCTGCAGCCGGCCGTTGTGCTCGCGCAGCGCACGCTGTGTCTGGGAGAGCGATTCGCTCTGCAGCCGGACCGAGGCCAAACGCTCCTCGGTATCCTTGAGCTGCTCCTGCAGCTGCTCGATCTCGTTCTTGAGCACATGCTCCCGCGACACGCTGCACGCGATCTGCTCAATGGGCGAGCTCAATGTGCTGACCAGATGCTTGGGCGAGCTGCCCACCGCCTTCTCGCTGTAGCTGGCCATCGGGGCGATGGGCCTCTGCTGGCCGCGATTCACCGGCTGAACGGTATGGACTGGCTGAACTGGCTGGACTGGATTGCCCTGCCCGGAGCTGCGCCGCGAGCCGGCGGTCAACACTGCCGCTGCACAGTCCTCCGCTTCGGTTAGCTCCTCCATCTGCGAAATGACAAATATTTGGATTTTTTTCTTTATGTATGTTTATTTATTTTTTTTTTTTTGCGGATTAGTCGAACAGTCGCTGCGGCATTCGTGAAAGTGCGCCTGCCAAGTGCCGGGGCGCCTTTGGGTGTGTCAAGTGCGCCGTGTGCTAACGGCAACAGTCGAACGCCGCCAAAATAGCAACAATAACAAATGCAACAACAACAACAACAACAACGCGCAACAACAACAACCCGCAACACCGGCAAACAATGAGCAACAGCGGCGCGCGGCGTAGTTTCTACGCGCCTCATCCATACCGACCCCCCCCATCCAACTCGCCCCTTATGCCCACCCTCGCCACGCTCCAGTCTCTGGACTGGCCCACAGGCGGGCGTAACAAAAAAAAAAATAACAAAAAATCAAAAACAACAACTGGAAACCAGTCGAAACAACAACGGCAACAGCTACGCAACCAGCCCGCACAGTGGGGCCAAAACAGCGCAAACCATCGACAAATATTTGATATAAATAAATAATTATAAATAAATTGAACAATAAATATGACATCGAATTTATATATAAATGGATATAAATTTCCAAAATATCATAGTTTTATTAATTAAAAATTCTATATATATATTATAATATAATATAAGACTTTGCTTAAAGAAAAAAGCTAGTTCAAGGACCCAGAAAATCCTTTATAAATAAAATAATAAAGACCCGTCGCCCTCTAAAGGCTTAAAAAGTAACCAAAAACATGTCAAAGAAATAATAATCAAAATAACAAATGAATATAAATAAGTATATACAGGGCGTCCAGTAGGGTATGTAATATGCAAGAACTTAGAAAAGAACAGAAAGGTCTTCGAATCGGATGGTGAACAAAAAAGTTTTGCACAAATGTTTTTCGTGATTTTGCCACACTTGCGAATGGAATTTCCCAACACTCCGACTTAGCGTGCACCCTTATTACAGAAAAAAGCAGCAGCAGTAAAAAAAGCAGGAATCAATAATTGTTTCTCAGCTATGCTTAACTCTTACTTTTACAGCCCCACATCGAACACTATTAACAGATCATTATATTGCATGATGTGTTCTAAATACTTCTTTCCAGATAACCCACGAGCAGGGATCAATATTTTTACCGCACCTATGCTTAAGGTACTTTACATTTAACATGCATACCCCATGATCCATGCTGTGTCTGAAAAACTTACATCCGGCGCCCGAGCAGGGACTTGTAAATGATTTACAGTTGCATTGAACTGTTATGTAACAGTAGGCAGTCGAGCCGGGATTTTAATGTAATTCGGATGCAATTTAACAGTGACTGTAAGTGTTGTTTTATAGTAGATGCAATTTAACAGTGACTGCAACTGTTATGCTACAGAAGGTGTCCGAGCAGGGATTTTAATGTGATTCAGATGCAATTTAACAGTGACTGTAACTGTTATTTGACAGAAGGCGTCCGAGCAGGGATTTTAATGTAATTCGGATGCAATTTAACAGCGACTGCAACTATTGTTTGATAGTAGATGCAATATAACAGTGACTGCAACTGTTATTTAAAAGAAGGCGTCCGAGCAGGGATTTGAATGCACTTGGAACCACTGTGCGTCGGTTGGTGCCCTCGCAAACACACATACGTTACCAATCGCATGGCTCGCTTACGTGTGTCCGTGTGTGTGTGTGTGTTGTGCGAGTAAGTGTAAATATGTATTTAACAAGGGTAAGCGATGACGATTTAGACTACAACGAACATAATTACAATGATGTGGGTGTGCGGCAACAACAGCAGCAACAACGACAACGACAACGACAACAATTGCTGTTAAAATAACAATAATAACAATGCACTCAATGAAGCAGCGGAAATATTGAAAGAAGAAAGTTGTGTGTGCCTCTTCTGTCCCCAACTGTGTCCCCGCCCACGCTCCCAGCTCCACCAGCACACATTGTCCGAGCTGTGTCTGTGTCTGTCTCTGTGTCTGTCTCTGTGTCTGTCTCTGTCTGTCTGTCTTTCTCAAGCCTCATTATAAAGCGTTCAGTTTTTCTGTGTGTGTTGACTTTTTTTTCCGTGCTTGCCCATTCGCTCCACTTGAAGCACTCTGGCAACACTCTCGCTTTCATCGTTCATTAGCTCATTTCGCTGATAGATTCTACCTGGAAGGCATCTGTCAAAACCCCAAATTGGTAGCTGCATTCCGAGCTCCGGGCCCGCACCCGCACCCGTAACATCCGCAGGCCAGCTCGACTAACCCATATTTTTGGCTTTTTTTATTTATTTTTTTCCATCTTCTTGGTTTTGTTTCTCATATGTTAATGATGTTTATGTACGTGCATCCTATTAGTTTTATTTTTTCTTTCAATATTTCTAGCTAATCCCCACTTTCCATTTCATTTAAAAGCCGCTCGAAAACGATAAACAAAAAACGAAAATATGCCCAAAAACTTTGCATGAGTTAAACAATTTTTGTTTTTTTCCGAGAGTTTTTTGTGAATGGCGCTCGAGACGTATTCGACTGAAGGATTGGAAAAAACATAGCTTTTGTTTAAAGTTCTGGCTTTAGCCTCTCAAAAGTCTTTAAACTTTTATTTATATGATATAACGGGTTTGAATTTACAAAATGATTATGCCAAAAGTATGCTACAATTGGACATAGCTCAGAATTCTATGCCATGGTTAGAGAGAAACTTAAGGATTTCTAGGGACATATAACTCTTTATATATGTGGACGGGGAACTGTTTTGGGTTTGGCAAGGAACTGACTGAAGACCGTTAAATGCCTAAGGAATACTGGGAGGGGGATCTGTAAAAGGCTCTTGATCTAATCTAATGAAATACCCTTGTTAATTCTGTTTTATCGATAGTTTTTCGATAACTTTGTTGCTTTAGTGTGAAATAAGAATAAACTTTTCAACATTAACAGAGAATTTGAGAACTCTCATTTAGGCTTCAGGCAGCTTGATAGGAGCTGATTTTTTTGCTTCTTATCGATAGTATTTTCGATAGGTTTGTTGCTATATAACGAACTAATCTCTTGTTTACATTCTATTAGAGACTAAGATCGAATTTTCGATTATCCCATCTCCAGAAGGAAAATATGTTAAAAGATTTAGCAAGATTCGCAATTTTATGGCTTTTGCCTAAAACAAAAACTGATGTATCTATAAAATTCTTTTTGAAAAGACAAACACAGTGTGGCATACAAAATATATAGATACACATATTTATTATATATAAAGTAAAGTAATATATATAGTTGATTCTCCTCCCAATTCAGAAAGTGCATTGAAAATTGCCTTATCTCGAATGATCGAAAGGCAATCGAAACACATGAATCTTTGCCTCATTTGCAATTACTTGTAAATACTCATAATCAAGAGTAGATATACTTGTGCCCACATATGAGCACATCAATGAGTATTTATGAGTATTAAGGACAATTTCACTACTTGACTGTGGTTCGCATTGGTTACTTCAGACAACTGTTGATTATTTGCAATTACTTGAACTCTCTACGCTCTTCCTCAGTTGACAATTGATAAACTACACACACACAAACATGTCATTTGTATGTGTGTGTGTGTGCGGTCATATAAAGTGAAAGGAGCGGCATTTGAGCTGCGATTGATTGGAGAGCGAGAGTAGATCAGAGCAGAGCGTGCGCAATGGCAATCACAACTGCTACTGCTGCTGATTGGGTGTGTGTAAGTGTGTGTGTGTGTGTAAATGTGTGTGTATGTGTGTTCGGCTCGTTCAGAAATCATGTCAATGCGTACAAATTGGAAATCTTTAAAGCTTGCGAACTTTTTAGTACTCACAGATCGGCGAGATTAACAATCAATCAATTTGAGCAGCTGACAATTGTTGTAGGTGCGAACACTCCCCCCCCCCCCCGACCCCACTCCCCTTCACTAGCCCCCTTTGACCGCCACAAGCCGAATGACGAATGGAAAAAACAATAACAATAAAGCAGAAATCAATTGGCACGCGGCTTCATTAACACATCACGTTGAGCGCAAATTGCGAATTGCGAATTGCAAATTAACATCGATTTGTTATCGATAACGAGTTCGATCAATCGAAGATCAATCGATAGCAGCTGGTCGGTTGGGCCTTGATTGTGCACATAGAAAGTCGAGCAAATGATCGACGATAATGACAATAACAGGTGATTAAATACATTTAGATATACTTGAACAACAACGATAAATATTGTGGACTCAATTACTTCGCAACTCTCCGATAAGAGACTAAAAGCGTACACATTTAAATGATCTATATGAGTAGAGAGCTATTGAGATATGTTTATACGAAACGAATTGCCAATTTGTGTAGAAAGCTTCTGCAAATTTAAATACAAGCTTATGTACACAATGTCCTATATTCTTTTAATGAATGCTTAAATATGAGTCCACACATGATCTCTATATATTGATATATACTTATATGATTTCTGGCACTCTGAATTTCAGAGAAATTACCCAAATATTAATTGACATTGTAAATGCATAAACGTGCAAAATATTTAGCTCTTTTTTCTTTTTTTCTTTTGCCATTTTTCTTTTCTATTTGGAAAATGTTGTTTTAGAAATTTCTTCATGGAATGTTAACTGTGAAGTAATGTATATTATATTAATTAATTACAAATGGATTGTTATTGCAAATATATATCAGATTACAATCATAAATAATCAATATCTGTACCTAGGTTGAACTAGGGAAATGGAAGTAAGTATTTACATGTAATAATTAAACTTTATAATTTGTAATTCTTCCTTCGACTGAAAGAATTTTGGACTTTTATAAATAATGGTTTGTAGTTCAGTTGATATTAAGAAGATAAAATAAAAGAAATAAACAATATTTATTAAATATTATCACTATTGTATGCATGCATATTAATCACAAAGAAAGCGCACGATGGGGATTCCCCTTGAGATAACATAACGATAACAAATGAAGCTACAGATTCTTAGCACAAGCTTTGGGTTTGGTTATAATGTGTATTATCAAATAAATAGGCATCAGATGCAGAAGAAGAAGAAGAAGATGTGGAAAATTATAATTATTATAATCAACCCCCGAAAGAAAGCGAGAGCGGGCGGCATTGCCGTTGGCGTTGGCGACATTTGTCTGCGATCCGATCTGAAAATTAACATAGAAGATCGGACAACAACAACAACAACAACAACAACAACAGCAACAAACAACGAGCGTCGCATTTATGAAGAGATTCATGCAACCGATAAAAGCGGGCGACGCTGTGGCAACGCCGGCTCACAAGGAAGCGAGGCGTCGCTGCTCGCGTCGCTGTCGCTGCCCGCGTCGCAGCTGGCGTTGACAGCGAGCGTGGACGCTTGTCCGCTTGGCCGCAAGCAATAAGCGACGGCATCGCCGCAATTTACATACATAACACGATTGCCCGACACACACACACACACACAGCACACACACACACACACAGACACACACACGCACGCTTAGTGCTGTGCGGCCAGCTGACGCTGACGTCGCTGTTGACTGCGCCGCCGAGAGAAATATCGAAAATGAAATGGCAATACTTTCCCAGCGTTGGTATAAAAGCGCCACTCCACCAATGGGACATGTCTCATTACGGTTTACTGTTAGATCTCGCTAAGATGTACGACGGGAGATCAAGAGCAGCATTTCAAGCAACAACAACAATGATGATGGGAATGGCAACAACAGCTCTGCTGTTGCTGCTATTGGGGGTCAACCAAACGGCGTCCATGTCGCTGGATCGTTTGGCTTTGGAACGGAACGAGCTGCCACCCGCTGCGGCTGAACTGCAGCCAAGTGCGGCCAGCACTGTGGTTGTGGATGACATGAAGATGGCCGCGATGCCGGCCCATGGCGCTACGGATATGTATATGCTGGTGCCGGAGTCTGTGGCCAGCCAGCTGGACGATACGGAGCATGTGCATCGCAATACCATCGAAGCCGATGCCGATGCCGAGGCTGAGGCTGAGGCAGAGGCAGAGAATGCCGCCGTTGGCGAGAGCGCCGATATGCTGATGCTGGAGAGCGATGATACGCCGGCCATGCAGCTGGTGGAGCTGCCCAGCGATATAACCGTGGCGGAGCTAAAGACCGAGACACAGACAGAGGCACAAACCGAACTGGAGCTGGAGCTGGAGGCGGCAGCAGAGCCGGTGGCAGCAGAAATTGCATCGCCGGAGCTGATTGAGGAGCATGTTGTGGAGCAGCCAGTGGAACAGCCAGTGGAGCAGGCACAATCAAGCAGTCAGGAGGCGCAGCTGGAGAATGCTGAAGCAATGGCAGATGGGACCACCGAGGCAGCACAAGTGCCGGCGGCCAATGAGGAGACACAAGCGGATGATGAAGTGGTGCCAGCTGCAGTCGAGGAGGAATACACCACGCCAGCTGCCATAGATCAAGAAGCGGCAGAAGCTAGTCAGCCAGAAGAGCAACAAGAGTCGGCGTCGGAACCGGAACCGGAGCTGGAGTCGGAGCCGGTGGCACAGGTTCAGCCCGAGCAAGCTCAAGAGCACGAGCAGGAGCTGGCTCCGGAAGAGACCAAGTCTGAAACCGCAGCAATTGCTGAGAACGAAGTGGACACCACCGAGTCATCAACCGTGCCGGAAACCATGGCGGCGGGCATTGAGGAAGGCCTCAGCGCAGCCATGAGCGAACTGCTGCCCGAGGAGCTGAACGTGGCCGAAACCGGAGAGCTAACCCAAATGGATGAACAGCCAGCCGAGGAGCCTTCAGTCGAATTGGAGGCACAAACTGCTGCACCCGAGCTCATCGTGGAAGCGGCAACTGAACAGTCGGATCAGGAGTCAGTGCCAGCGGCTGATGATGCCGCAGAGCAGCCATTGCCAGAGGAAGCAGCTCCAGTTGAAGCTCCAGTTGACGCCGAACCGGAACCCGTTGCAGCTGCCGAAAAGGAGCCGCAACCCATGGAAATCCTCAGTCTGCCCGTGCAGAACGTGGAGGAAGCTAGCAAGCCGGCCGCTGAAGTTGAGCCCGAGATGCACAAGGAAACGGCGCCAGCTGTGGAGGAGCTGGATAGCCAGCCACCATCCATCCTGGCTGATGAAATGCCCGATGCAGTTGCGCCAGTTGTTGCAGCTCAGGCAGAGCCACAAGCTGAAGTTCAGCCGGAACCCCAAGTCGAGCCGGCAGCTGATAAGGCAGCCGAGTCCCAGGCCGAGTCCGAGCCATCGATCCTGACGACCATCATACCAGTCGCAGTGCCAGCGCAAGAGCCGGAGCCCATTCAGGTCATGGACAGCGTGTTGAACTATATGAATGCCTCATTCGTGCCACAGCAGCCGCTGCAGCTGGACCAGATGCCGGAACAGGACCTGGAGCAGGAGACAGCCACGGAGAGCGCATTCAGTGCCCAACTGCGACGCTACGATGGCGCCCAGTTGTGGCGCATTGTGGTGCAAACGGATAAGGACAAGAAGCTGGCCGATGAGCTGCAGTCGAAATATGGTAAGTGCCGCATGCCGCATGTAAGCAGCCAGGCAATTGCCTAACCCACTCTCACTCTCCGCCCACAGACGGACAACTGTGGAAGGAGGTCAAACAGGAGGTCGACTATCTGCTCAAGCCGCAGGTGCTCGCCGCTGCCGAGCGTCACATACGCGCCGCCAATTTGTCGCGCATCGTGCTGATCGATAATCTGCAGCAGGTTATCGAAGTCGAGAATCCGCCAGCTGACAAAATCGCCGAGCTCCAGAATCGCAAGGGTGAGTGCAAAGTTGGGAGAAGCGGGGATTTTGTCGCAAGGGTTTTGTTTTTTTTTTTGTTTTGGTCGCCTCCAGCTCAGGTGTCGCCATAAATGAGCTTTTGATGCAGCCAACGGTTGGGGCGTGTGAAAAGTCATAAAGCGGAAAGTGACACGAAATCAAGAAGCAAGACAAAGAGCAAGGCGGCAAGCAGACCGACCACACGATACCCTCTAATAAGTAATAACTTGAGTTGTTTCATCATTAATCGTTATCGATATAGTCAGTACTAAGCTTTGGTAAATCGATAACTATCGGTTATGTAAAAAAGCAAAGAATTATCGCAGGAAAAGCTGTAACTGGTTCTGCATATAATCTACAAATCAGAAATCGATATTTATCGAAAGTGAATCGATAACTATCGGTTTCCTAAAAATGTAAAGAATTATCGCAAGAGCAGCTGTAACTGGTTCTGCATTTAATTAACAAACTTAGCCGAAGATATCGAAAAAATCGATATTTATCGAAAGAGCCTGCTTTCCAAATGTGATTGATTAACTCTTGTAGGAATTATCGAAATAAGAGCTAACAAGTTTTGTCCTTTAAAGTCTCTTGTTCTTAGAGTCTTCGATCTTTACGGGGCTCTCTGCGACTTTTGACTTTATGATACCCGCTTTTTCTCCACCAACTTTGAATGGGTATACAGAGAACAGAGTGTGAGGGTGGTTGAAGGTAAGAAGAAGAAGAAGACTAGGCAAAAGGGGTTGCAAACGGAAATGAGACATCGCGACAGTTAACTGAGTGACAGCTTTGATATGCCCAGCCACGCCCACAAGCCGCCCTCTTTTGGCTACACTTGAAGCTAGCCATGAACTTGGAACGCACCGCGACACCTTGGCTCAGGTGCGAATGGGCAGGGGGAGGGGTAGAGTGAGGCGTTGCAACTTGCAAGACACTTGTTTAATCAATAAACGGCAGGACACGCAATTTCCTTGAGTCGTTGCAGGAATTGAGCCATTGCCCGCCGTCGCCAAACTAAATTCAGGCACTTGACACACGCCCTTCGAGGTGAGGTTCGTGGGAGAGGGAGAAGGGGAAGGGGAAATGGGAAAGGGGGCGAGGTCAGGTTGAATGAACTGGCCGGTTGGGGTTGCCATAGTTAACTAGCATACGTTCGCTCAGTCTGGCAATATTCTGTTTTTTTTTTTTTCGGCAGGACATCGCCTCACCTGGCAGGCCTACCATCGGCTGGAGGATATACACGGCTTTATTGATTACATGGCCAAAACCTATCCGGACATTTGCTCGAGCGAAACCATCGGCCACTCTGTGGAGAAGCGTCCGCTCAAGATACTCAAGTAAGTTGTTCTCCGACGACGAGCTGCTGCGATCGGATCTTAAATGTTAGCTTTGATCTTTTTGCAGAATCTCCAATGGCAATGCACGCAATCCCGGCATCTGGATCGATGGCGGGATGCATGCACGCGAATGGATCAGTCCCGCAACGGTCACCTATATAGCCAATCAGCTGGTCGAGGGCTGGGAGGATCTGCCCGAGCATATGCGTAACATTAACTGGTACATCCATCCGGTGGCCAATCCCGACGGCTACGAATACTCCCACACGACGGACCGTTTGTGGCGCAAGAATATGCGCGCCCATGGACGCCAATGTCCGGGCGTGGATCTCAATCGCAACTTCGGCTACAAGTGGGGCGGCAAGGGCACCTCGGCGAGTCCCTGCTCGCAGACATATCGCGGCAGCAAGGCCTTCTCGGAGCCGGAGACATTCTACATATCGAAATTCATAAGCGGCTTCCCGCGCGAAACCTTCCAGGCGTATCTGTCGTTCCACAGCTATGGCCAATATATACTCTATCCCTGGGGCTATGACTATCATCTAACCAAGGATCGCGCCGATCTGGATCGCGTGGCACGCCAAGCGGGCTCGGTAAGCTGCTTTAACTGATCTAGCTAATCCCAAATGAGATACGAACTCTTGAACTCTTACGATTTCACCCACAACCAGATAATCACCAAGTCGTCGGGCGTTAAGTATACGGTGGGATCTTCGGCGACAACGCTCTATCCGGCCGCCGGCGGCTCGGACGATTGGGCCAAGGGCATTGCGGGCATCAAGTATGCCTACACCATCGAGATGGGCGACACGGGCCGCTACGGCTTCGTCCTGCCCGCCCAGTTCATTCAGTACAACGGCAAGGATGGCTACACCTTCGCCGACACGGTCGCCCGCGCCGTTGCCCAGGCACGCTCCACGGATGCCAGAAACAGCAGCAGCATCAGCAGCAGCAGCCGTCGCCGCCGCACTCGCTAGTTGCCTGAACTTAGACTTAGTTAAATATGACTTTTTTTTTTGCGTCTAAACTTTTTTTTTTTTTTTTGAATCTTATTTATACGAAACTATTTATTTATTTATTTATTTGTAACTAGACAAATTGAACATTTGAAAATAGACTGAGACATGTTTATTGAAAAAAAAAAAACAAAACAACATTTCTCGGGAATTTGATATGTTACCTAACTTGGGAGTTACGTTGTGGTATATGAGGGCAAAAGCTGGAGAGTTTCCAGTTCTTTTATCTTAAATAATGCTGCGATCCTAAGTTATTTACTTTGATCTTTTTCTGTCCATAACCAGAACCGCCCAGATCATAGAAATGGAATCCCGCTCAAAACTAAGTATCCATCTATTTTATAAAATATATATTTAAAGCTTGTTTTTTTATTTAACCTTCCTTTTCTGGCATCTCTTTGTGGATGTCAGTTACAAATTCAGCGTGTGAGAAAGTTTGAACTCATCAATTTATTTCCAAAACTCAATCAGCTTAGATCACATTGGAATTTAAATAAATGAACGCAATTAATCGATTTCCAACAAAGGTGAACATGAATTTCGGGTCAAGCGTTAATAAATACCACGACGATCACAATTATCGGCGCGATCTCTGAAAACATATTAAAACCGCATTCCAAAATGTAAATACCCTAGCTCGGAATGTGCAAAGATCACGAAAGGTGACTAACCAAAGGGCTCCGACAACACGATCGCAATTTAAAGCTCATTCTTTAACAAATCTTAAAACAAAATTTACAATTTATATATGATATAAAATATATATATGCCAATATATACAATATACTTATATCTGAACGAAAAGAATCTGCATGCAAAATTTGACTTTTATAAGCCTCGAAAAAAGCCTGAAAGAGAACCTTCAGGTAGAATTTGGTTAACATCTAGAAGCTGAGCAAAAACATATACATATATATTGAAGGGTCAGTTATGCAAAATAGATTTTCGTTTTGAACGTGTACAGGGTATTAACAGAAAGAGAGAGAGAGAGAGAGAGAGGGAGAGAGAGACTGAGAACTTGCAACAACTTTTGTGGTGAACCCTGTAACTAAGTATAAATAGCTTGGCTTGTATAACAGTATAACAGTTATTTATAACATTTCGAGCAAAGTAAAAGTTTAGCTATGCAAATTTCTGCCCCATTGTGCGTGTGTGTGTGTGTGTGTGTGTGTTTTGGATGATGGAGAATTGAGAACAGACGCAAAACAGCGAAAAGTAGCCGTTATTCGATCAAACCGAATCGAACGGCCGCGCGGGCAACATTCGGACGGTTCACATTGGACGGTTGCAAAAGCCAAGCGAATAGAATGCATTACGCATACGCACTGTGGGCCGTTGCAATATGCGTGTGCCACACGTGGCTGCCACAGCTGGTGGCAGCATCAGCATCATCATTATCGACTGGCGCCAAGCGCTACGATTTCTTTGCGCGCACCGGCGACAATCTGGTGCGTTTGCCCTTCTTCGGCGGCGGCGTCGCCCAGCTGCTGCGCTACCTGCGCCCCATGGAGCAGGCGGGCGGCATTGAACGGCGCTCGGCGCTGCGCATGTCGCTGGACGAGAACTACGTGAGCTATCGTGGCGCTCAACTCTGGAAGCTCAACTTCAATGGGACACGCAGGCGCGGCGACAGCTCACCGGATGCCCAGTTCAATCAATTTGTGGAAGACTTTGGTGAGTAGCGACAGCAACAGAGACAGAGCGAGAGAGCCCCCCTGGGCGATCTCAATTTCAATCAGACCAGCTGAAGACACTTAAAAATCAATCAATCAATCGATTTGACAGACATTCTAATGAGGCAGCTAGTCAAGAGATTCGCAAACTTCCTGTTTGCTGATTGGAAACCAAAAAATTGCGTTTGGGAATGACGAAGAGTGAATGCCCTTAATATATATGTTATACGATTTGACGACAGATTGATTGATTGACTGACTGATTGATGATCAAGCAGCTAGACAAGAAATTGGCATATTTCCTGTCATGTGATTCAAAGCCAAGAAATTGAGCTTATCTTATTGTATATATTATACGATTTGACAACTGATTGATTGATTGACTGATTGATGGTCAGGCAGCAAGTCAAGAAAGTGGCATATTTCCTGGCTTGTTATTCAAAACTAGGGAAATTGAGCTTCGGAATGCCGAAGAGTAATCAATTATATCTAAATTTATGTGTTATACTATTTGGTGACTGACTGATTGATTGATTTACTGCTTGACGATCAACGCAGAGCTCACCCCGTGAAAGCTAGGAAGCTGCATTCTTTACTATAGTAATATTCTTAAAAACAATCAACAACAACAAATAAATATGCTACCAAAAGCCTAGCTTATTGATATTGATATTCGACGATGTTGAATTGTGGTAAAGTCAGAAGTTTATAATAGTTTCGACGAACATAAAACCCCAACGACCAGTCAGATATGCAAAGTAAGAAATTCGCTTAACTGTAGTTCAGTCAAAATACACACAAACTGGGGATCAGAGGTGGGCTGTTGACCTCTTAACCGAAAGAATAGAATAGAACATGTCAAATAGTATCAAACGCCCAGCCGCTGGCAGTGAGTAAACTCAGTCAGTCAGTCAGTCAGTCAGTTAGGCAGTCAGTTAGGCAGTCAATTAGGCAGTGAGTCAGCTAGTCACCGGGTCGGGAAACAGGTGTTGTTCACGCATAAAATTGATATTAATCAAAGAGCAAGAAATTCAGCGAATCTCGACCTGCTGCCAACAAATGCGAGAGTGTGGAGAATTAGTTCTGTTTGTGTGGCACGATCAGCATGATGTTGATGTTACTCTTGATGTTGATGTTGATGTTCTCTGCCGGCAGTCGTGGCAGTGCCCAGTTAATACTGTGGCGCAGCGTCCCGATGCCGGCTCTCGCGGCCCTGCCCGAGCTATGGACGCTGAACAGCAGCGAGCTGTACGAGGCGACCTTTGAGAGTCTGCAGTGGCTATCGCCCACCGATCTGAGACGCTTCGATTTTCTCTCGCCGGGCTCAACGTATCAGATCAATCGACGCTATCGGAATGATGCATCCGTGCGTCGCTACTACGGCCATCAGCTGTGGAAGCTGCACGAGACGCGTCTCGGCCAGCCGAAGCTGCGATCATTTTTGCGACGCTTTGGTAGTGCTAGGGCCCATAAGCATGTTATACGATCCTTCAGCTTAAAATGTTTATCTTACAGGCAGCGAGGTGTGGAACATCAACCAGGACGGCATCGATATAATCATCGAGCACAAGAATGTGGCGGCCGCCCAGCAGTACATGGAACAGACCGCCTTCAGCTATAACATCATGATCGATGACATCGAGACGGCCATCGATGAGACCTACACGGAGGTCAACGAGGCGGACACCGATAACACGCTCGCCAACTACTCGCTGCCCTGGCTAAACCGCGAGGGTGCACTGCTCACCTGGCGAAGGTACCACGATCAGGGCGATATGCAGCAGTTCCTTCAGAATATATTGGAAACGCATTCCGAACTGGCGGAGATCGTGCAAATTGGCCTCACACGCAACAAGCGACCGCTCGAGGTGCTCAGGTCTGTAAACACTTCATGTTATGGGCACTGTTAAGGTTACGGATCATGTTATTGTCACTGCTACTGCTACAGTTTCGACAGTTTATGTTATGGGCACTGTTAAGGCCTTTGCCGAGGTGCTCAAGTCTGTAAACACTTCATGTTATGGGCACTGTTAAGGTTACGGATCATGTTATTGTCACTGCTACTGCTACAGTTTCGACAGTTTATGTTATGGGCACTGTTAAGGCCTTTGCCGAGGTGCTCAAGTCTGTAAACACTTAATGTTATGGGCACTGTTAAGGTTACGGTTCATGTTAATATGACTGCCACTGCTACAGTTTTGACTTAATGTTAGGGGCACTGGCTGATCCTGCCACAGTTTCGACGCTTAATGTAATGATCACTGTTAAGGATATTATTCATGTTGTTATCTCTGTTACTGCTGCAGATTCGATTGTTTTAGTTATGGGCCCTATTTAGGTCATTGTCGAGGTGCTCAGGTCTGTAAACACTTATTTTAAAGTGAACTGTTTATGTTATGAGTACTGTTAAGGTCTCTATTAATGTTATTGTCACTGTTACTGCTACAGTTTCGACTTAATGTTATGGGCACTGTTATGTTTACTGCTCATTTTAATGTGTGCCACAGTTTGAATTTCGTACTGTTACGGTCTCTGTTAATGTTATTGTCTATGCTAATGCTACAGTTTATGGATACTATTGCAAAATCGATACTGTAACGACTACTGTTACTTTAACATTTGCAGTCACTGTTAATCTTACACTTTTACTGTGAATAATAGAAGTTCTTTCCGCAGAATCTCGAATGGCAATCCGAATAATTGGGCCGTTTTTGTGGATGCCGGAATGCAGGCGCGCGACTGGCTCAGCCCTGCGGCGCTGACCTATGCCATCTCGAAGCTGAGCTGGCTGTGGGAGCAGGATGAGGCGGATAAGGCAATGCGTCACATCGATTGGTACTTTCTGCCATTGGCTAATCCCGATGGCTATCAGTACTCGCGCCTCACCGATCGCCTGTGGACCAAGAATCGCAGTTACGACAGCGCCAGCGGCTGCTATGGCGTCAATTTGGATCGCAACTTTGACTATGGCTGGGGCCAGGCGGGCTCCACGTCGAATCCGTGCAAGAATCTGTACCATGGCGCGAAGAGCTTCTCCGAGCCGGAGACGCGTGCCATGCGCAACTTTTTGCTCGGCATGCGCGACTATTTGGGCGCATATGTGTCCTTCGGTGGCTACGGCCAGGCGATCACCTATCCCTGGGGCGATGCTGACTATGTGACCAGCAATCAGCGAGAGCTGCGCAACACGGCCCGCCAGGCGATCCTCAACTTTCGCCGGCTCAACCATGCCGAGTACAGCATGGGCAGCAGCTATCGCCAGAAGCTGGCGCGATCGGGCAATGCGGCCGACTGGGTGCAACAGCACATTGAGCCGCAATATGTGTACAATGTCTTCCTTAAAGATCAGGGTCGTTATGGCTACCTAATGCCGCCGCACTACATACTCGAGTCCGGCGAGGAGGCCTACGAATTTCTCAAGACCATAGCTCAACAGCTGCACTAACAACACGAGAATTCGTGATTTTTTTTTTTACTATGGATTATTATTTATATTTTTCACTTATTTATTTAACTTATTTATTTATTTATCGCTTATTTTTTCATTCAAATATAATAAGAGCACTTGTAACTATTTTTTTCAATAAAGCTCATATGATCTTTTATATCTGACTAAAGATTTCCCCTCTTTCCGACCCGACTAACGCCTAATTGAAAAGAGCTGATTCTTTAATCCAAGAAGTCTTGGTCGGTAAACGGAATAACGACATCATTTCGATCTCCGCGCGAAAAGATGTCGTTTGCGAACGTAATATCCCCGCGCGTGGATATGCCGTCTTTTGATCGAAGGAGTTATGTCGTTATAAAACGACATCATCTCGCCACGATCAACGGCGGAGCTTGAACTGCTTGCTCGGAGGATAAAAACTATGGCATGCTTTTAGGCGAGGCACTTATAGCCAAACTTAACAGCTAAGTAAACAGTGTTTAGCCAGAAAAGCAAGTACAATTAAAACTTAATAAATAGATAAATATTCAGCAAGTGCACAAGCGTTTTGTGTGTAAAGCAACTGGGAAATTTGGAAGACTCCTGACTCCTCCAACTAAACGCAATTGTATTACGGCCAAAGAATGTCAGAATGGTGAAAAAAAAAAAATGTTAAAAATAAACCCAAATAGAAAGCAGTGAAAAAAAAAACTGTAAAAGAGCGCAAGAGAGCGCGAGAGAGCAAGCAGAGCAGAAGAGCTGATGCTAGAGCGAGCGCGAACTCGAACGCGAACGCGAGCGCGAGCGTTGGCCGGGCAGCTAGTTGAACTGGGTGGAACTTTCACTTTCAATCGCGTTTTGAAAACCAGTCAAAAAAAAAAAATGGGGGGAAGAAAAAGTAACGACAAATGGCGCGACGACGACGACGACGGGCACCAAGATGTTATTCATTTATTTATTTACTTAACATGCATATAGAAATTATGCGGATCAGGCGAAAGGCCTGCGATAGACGCCGTTTGCCGCAAAAGCTCAAAGCGCGCAAAGAAAGTGATTTAAGCGCTGGAAAACAAAAAAAACCAAAAAAAAAAAACCTGCTGAAGAACGGCCAGCAGCAAACAAACTAAATGCACGGCCAACAAAATACCCTAGATTCACAAACAATGAGGCAAAAAGCAGACAATTCGTACATAATGAGCTTGATTGTTCAAGTGTGCCTGTGTGTGTGCGTGTGTCTGTCTGTCTGTCTGTGTATGTGTGTGTGTGTGTTCTCTTGGCCAAGCATGAAGCGAGTATTGAATGAAGCTCTCGAATGCCGATTGTTCGAAATTAAATGAACCACAAAATGCTGCTGCAGTTCCAAAAGTGAAAATCGTATTCAAAAGAGAAAAAAAATGAGCCCAACAACAATAACAAATACGCAAAATACAAAAAGCCAAAGCAGCAGCAGCAGCAGCAGAAATTATAAGCTACAAAAAAAAAAAACAACTTAATTGGTGGGGGGGGCCATGTTGATCATCATTAAAGGCGAAAGAAAGTAAAAACATGACAAGTGGGTCAAAAATTGCGCCGTCATACACACACACACACATATGCATTTAAAACTTGTAAAATAGATGGATGTGTATGTGTATACAAAATGACATATTGAAAAACACATAATCACGCACGCACGCACGCGCCTACATATGCACATACAACTGCACAGTTTGACATGTGTGAGCAGCAATTGAATCAAATTTACAACAGAGCACAATGCCTTTTAGACATATACGCATACATGCATGTAAATAAGCTTGATTGTGTATATGCATGCATGCATCGCTGCTGCTTCTTGCACTCAGTCTCAGGCACAGCCGCATTACAAGTCATGCATTTCCCAGCTCTGAGGTCAGCAGGTAAAACCAACGATTAAAAGATTATGTTTAATATTTCAATAATTATAGCTGTCTATATATGTATGTGTGTATGCGATTTTCTTAACAAAATTCTAGCTAGCATTTTAATGGGTTTTTCCCCAGCTAATGTATTTTGCATTGTCGGGTCTTAAAAGCTCGGCTTAGCAACAGATTGTTTATGGCTTAACATTATGTTATACATTAACAAAGGTTGTGTTATGTTATTTGCAGTATCTAAAATATCATCCTGTAATGACTCATTTGGTAAATTCATTTCAATAATGATGACTGTTCTTTAACGTCATTAAACTTTCTGTTTGTATTTTTGCTGTTTAAAAAGAAAGATTATTGTTTGGTCTTTCAGACACGATCTTTTTGGAAGATCGTTAGCAGCTCTAGCCTTAAACTGGTGAGGGTATATATATATATCAAGAGCTTGCATATTATCGTTTTACAATGTGTGCGCAGAGTATACAAATTATATCTTTGAGACACTTTGTTTACTTTATTCTTACTTTTCTCACTTAAAAAGAGAGTCAATATGCAATCATAAATGATAAATAGCCAAAGTTTTCGAAGGCAAGTAAATGAAGCAAGCTAGAATGACAAGAATGATAATTAGTGGAAATGCATACACACACATATGCATATAAAATTACTATTGAATATGCATGCATACATGTATGAGTACTTTTGAAGTGCACTGTGCTTAAATCAAGCCAGAGCAGGCGTCGTGCCCGAAATAGAGGTGTTAATTTCGAATGGACTATTCCGTGCTGTTACGCTGAGCGCTGCGAGCGAGTGGCTTTCAATGCAAAGCTGGAGATACACATTAAAAGTTGAAAAAAAAAAACCATTAACAGTTGCGTTGTAGCTGTCAAACTGTTGCCTGTACAAGTGCAAAGTGCAAAACGGACGCCAACTGCACGACTGACTGTGCCTATGCATGTGCATGTGTGTGTCTGTGTGTGTGAGTAATAGATTGACTTTTGATAAAGCACACGAAATGCAACAACAGTAGCAGCAGCGGACACATAAGCAGCAGCAGCGGGCGCAGCGACGCATCACATTACAGCACGACGCAAAAGAGAGTCAATGTCGCTGACTTGCATTGCATAGCGGTGAGATGGAAAGATTGTAGGCGCAGAAACAACAAAAAATTACTCCGACAGCAGCAGGCGGCCCCCCGCACTGCGCACACACGCACACATGCGCACATATGCACAGGCTTCACAAATTTATTGTTGGTTCATGTTTTTTTTTATTTTTTTATGCGTGACTCTCTCGCGCTGCCTGTAAGCGCGTCGCTGCTGCTGCTTGCTGCGCCGCTGCCGCAGCTGCTGCTGTTACTGTTACTGCTGGTGCTGCTGCGACTACTGTTGTTGTCAATTCATTCAGTACGCGCCGATCGCTCCAAGATCGGTCGTCAGGCAGCAGCGCAATTTTTTTTCCCCAAAATTGCTTTTTTTTCACTTTCTGCTGTAATTCTGTTTAACGTTTGTTTTTTTTTTTATTAATTTTTTTCTTCGGTCTCTTTTTCTGATTTAGTGTGCGTGCGTGTATTATTTTTTTCCGTTTGGTTTTATTTTGGTTTTTTTTGTATTTTTTTTTATCGGGAAACGGCCCTCGGCACAGTTGCCTGGCTGGGTTTTATATAAAAATTGAAGCGACACAAAGGCAGCATTTAGTCTGGATTCGTCAGTGAGCTGCCAAGTGTTACAGTCAAACACACACACACACACACACACACACACACACAGGCGCAAAGGTGTGTCAGCAGCAGCAACTGACCGGCAACTGCAGCATCCAAGAAGCGCAGCAACAGCAGCAACAACGACAACAACAATCACAGCGCAACGTAAAACGTAAGCTTAATAAATGAATTGAATGTGCGTGTGAGCGTGTGTGCGTGCGAGCGAGAATGCAAGAGCGTTAATGCGGATGCGTTTCTGAATGAGAGAGGTCACCTATGATTAACGTTTGCATGTAAATTAACATTAACATTAACATTAACATTGCGCTTAAACTTTTAACTGCAACGGGCTGCGACAAGTTTCTATACCCTGTATGCAGTGAAAATGGGCTAACAAATATGGGTATAGTATTTTTTGCAAAGGTATGTAACGGGCAGAAGATACCAGATACCCGATTGGGTATATACATACATACATTTACATATACTTCATTAGCATCAATCTTTTTCTGTTGTGAAAAGAATAAGGGATGACAAATTTGTAAGAAAACTTCTTCTTGCCTATCGATAAATCGATAAATATCAGCAATTATAAGATCTAAATCGACTATTCCGCATACGTTATATATAACGGCTTAACAATTCTGCGCACAGGGTATTTCTCAGTCGGGCACTCTTACTTATTTATGACCTGTCAAGGGAAATGTGCAGTCGCTCCAGTTTTGGAGCACAGCACGAACTGGCGATAACATCTGGGACACGTGATCGAAACGAAGGTCGGACTATTCACAATAGCTCTGCCCCACAAGATTCCATCGCTGCGCACAACAACCTAAATGTTTGCTTAGAACCAGTTCTCTGGGCCGCTTTCTGCACTAAAAAAAAGAAAAAAAAAAACTAAATAAATAAAATAAACGATAATCCAAACAGGTCGTCAGGAGAAAATTAGCACAATTGCGTGCTAACCACGAGCGACAACAGTTTCGCAACTAAAACTAAGATTCCGAATCGGATTCCAATTCGGATTCCGATTCGGATTCGGATTCTGATAGAGTGCGCACGTAATTAGAATTCCATCTCAAAAACATATATAAGGCGAAAAAACAAAAGAGGCCAAAAATAATAATCATTTGCCTCGAGATTACGCAAGTGCCGAACGCATACAAATGGATTCATTCCGAATGCGTTTCGAATCGTCGTATCGCATAACAACCCGCAATCCCAGCCAACCCGCCCACATCCCGCGCTTCGCTCAAAATCCAAATGCGCGTTTCGAATCGATCGTCGACAGTTGACGGACTGACATACAAAATTGAAATCAAAATAAAACCAATTGCAGTCAAGCTATAGAAATCACAGCGCGTCCAATTCCAGATAACATTGAACTTGGCCAAGGCCAAAGCACACACACAGACACAGGAAGCCGTTGTCGACTTTGCAAAGTTTCTCCAAAATCATATATGTATATATAGTTTATTACCTGAACTTAACCAATCTTCCATTTATGATCAATTCATATATTTAAAAATGTTACTGCAACATTTTGTTAGACTTTGTCCTGGTCCTGGCAGGGCTGCAAACCCAAAGAGAAGTCGGTGGCTCAAACCGTAAAGGTTTCTGTCAGGTGGTTTTGGTTCAAACATATTGAAAAGCTCTTTGGACAAATGGCTAGATTTAAGGTTTGGTTTGAGGTTAAAAAATTAATTGAAATACCGGTTCGAAACGGTTTTGTTTGAAAGCGGTTTGAGAACTTTGATTTAGGAAGACTTCAATTTAGCAGGAATATATTTGATTAAACTAAATAAATTAAAATAAATACAAAAAGTAATGTATAAAAACCCAGATTCGAACTGAGAACCGAGCCACTCACAATTAGTTTGATTGGGGATTACACTATTTCGCCTATCGCTAAGGTTTCCTTAACAGCATGGCAGAGCCTTTCGGATTTGTTGTTGAAAATGGGAAAAGTGCAAAGAGATAACCTGTGATCTGTGGGAAACTACTGCCAATTAGTTTTCCATGTCGTCTCTATATACATCGCTCAGATCTAGGGCTTTGAAAATAATGCTCTTGTAGCTGCAAACTTGAGAACCGGGTAATTCAATCGAAGATTTTGATTGTGAATTGGGGAAATTGTGAATGCCTTGTCGAGGAATTTTGACAATAAGTTTGGAAAACCAAACAAATTTCGCCCGTTTTCCAATCTTAGAGTGAACACTTGTCAATCAGTCAATCATTCATTTGGCTCAAGCTTTAGAATTTTCAATAATTGCACAAATTATTATTATACTATAAAATCTATACAAAACAATGTATGCAAAAAAAGAGCTTCATTTCCGTTCGTTTTTCATATCGTAAATTAAGCTTTTTTACGATTTACAATACTGGCTTTCAATTAGTTTTCGCTAACGTACAAATTATATTTCGACGATTTACAACTATTCTGTTATAAGATTTATCAGTTATTATCATATATAATTATATATGAGATTTACAGCTCTGAAAGTTCCCGCACTAAGTTGAAATTGTTAAAATTAATAAATATAATAATAATTGGAAAGTTTTCAAAGTTCCTTTCCGATTTCCCATCGATCCCAAAAAGCCAGCTCTAGAAATGTTCAACAGCTGTCAATTTTATACGTTGGAAAATTTTCACAAAATCACAAAACAAACCCAATCACATTAGTTCTCCAATATCGTAAATGCACAATTCTGGAATAGTATTCCATGCCAATGTACGATATACGTAAATGTTCATTTCGTGTAATTACAATTGCGCTCCATTTAAACAAGACTCGTTTTATGAATGAGCTTAGTTTCATTTCTTTTTTTTAGCATTGATTCAAATTGGGAAATTTGTCGAAAAATTATAAAAAAAAAAACCCTCATTTGTTTAACATAACGTAAATATACAACTTTTAACAACTCGTGTGTGCTCGAAAGTGTTTTCATGATTTTGTTTGATTTTTTTTTTTTTGAATATGGATTGAGGAAAATAAAGGTGACTCGATTAACAAACTAACATTTGAATAGAGTCTGCGACCCAGAAACTAAACTAAGCGTAACGGGGGCGGGGGCGGGGGCGGGGCGGGGCGTGGCGGGTTTGTTAATTACTTAGACGCTCGCTGCAGCTCGTCGGAAGCTGATAAGTTATCATTCCACACAGATATCACCGATAGCTGACAACTGATGGAAAGAAAGATGAGTCAACGACCAGGTCAGCTGATGCTGCTCGGGATGCTGCTCGGGCTGCTGCTCGGGATGCAGGTGGGCATGGCGAGTGCGACAAACAACTCGCTGGCTTTTGAGGATCTGAACGGCATTCCGGAGCGCTTTGACGAGACGCAGCTGTGGCGCATTCACAACATGAGCGATGCCATGCTCCAGAGCATACCCGTTGGCCAGGTGCTGGAGCAGAGGTTCGGTGGCAATATTTGGAAGGAGAACTCCAAGTTTCTGGACGTCTCCATTGGCAAGGAGCACGTGAAGGCGGCGCGCACATTCCTGCAAGCCCACCGCCTCGAGGCCCAGGTGCTCACCGACAATGTCCAGTCGCTGATCGATCAGGAGCTGCTGGAAGGTATCGAAGCCACACAAGCACAGCCAGGCGCACGCTCAAGTGAGTAGAGAATCGAATCGAATCGAATCGAATTGAATTGAATTGAATGGATCGTCCAACAGAGAAGGCCTCACGCAGCGGCAGCGGCATGCACTGGAAGGACTATCACGATCTGGAGACCATATATGCGTTTATGCGCGAAATACGCGCCAAGTATCCAAATATATGTCGCCTCTATACCATAGGACAGACGGCCGAGAAACGCGATTTGAAGGTCTTGCGGTATGTTAACAGCAAATACGAAATGTCTTCGGACTACCGAAGATTCAATAGCCTTCCTTTGAAAACTTAAAGATATAGTGGTCCGATACAAAGTTCAGTTTGCTTCAGTTTGTCACATTTTTCCCTCTGCAAAATGTTTTTCCGGCACCGCCCAAAACTATGCCTCGTTCTGTTAGCTGCAAATGCAATGCGCTTGCAACTGTTAACTTAACAGAGACCACAGCTAGACAGCTAACATTTGTGATAAATGTTAACATTCATAGCGCTGCTTAGAAGTATGCTACACAAATTTCCATGCGCCGCCTAATGCTATGCTGTGGTTTTTTTCTCCCGCCCTCTTGCAGCATCTCGGAGAATCCGCGCGAATTCAAAAAAGTTTGGATCGATGGCGGCATCCATGCACGTGAGTGGATCAGCCCGGCAACAGTTACATTTATACTGTACCAGCTGATGAACAACTGGGAGAATCAGCCGGCGCATATACGCGGCCTCACCTGGTACATAATGCCAGTGATGAATCCGGATGGCTACGAGTACAGCCGCACGTCGAATCGACTGTGGCGCAAGAATCGCTCGGCATCGCGACGAACCAATTGCTTTGGCGTCGATCTGAATCGCAATTTCGATATTGGCTGGACCGGATTCGGTTCCTCAAAGGATCCCTGCAGCGATGTCTATCGCGGCAGCGCAGCGGCCTCCGAGCTGGAAACGAAGGCCGTCTCCGATTTTCTGGCCAAGCGCAAATACAATCTGGAGGCGTATCTAACATATCACAGCTACGGCCAGATGGTCGTCTATCCGTGGGCCTACAAGGCCGTCAAGGTCAAGGACTCGAGCGTGCTGCAGCGCGTCGCCAGCACCGCCGTCGACCGCATTGCCCAAAAGACCGGCAGCAGCTACACGGCGGCCGTCACCCACGAGGTGCTCGGCATTGCCGGCGGCGGCTCCGACGATTGGAGCCGTGCCGCACTGGGCGTTAAATATGTGTACACCATTGAGTTGCGCGATCGCGGCACCTACGGCTTTGTCCTGCCGCCCAAGTTCATCAAGGACACCGCCCTCGAGGGCTGGACCGTCGCCGAGACAGTTGCCCAATCCATTGGCTGAGCAATCCAAAAGCATCCCGAGCATCCCAAATCCCTGTATCTAACTAGGTGTAAGTGTGTGAGCGCAGCTTCGCGCTTCAATGTGTGAATGCCTATTTATGTATGCATGTACATTGTACATATGTAAAAACTAATAACAAATAACAACAACAAAAATCAATAATAATATATATATATATATATATATATATATATATGTATATGTATACTTGTATCTATAAATCATATTTAAAACATGCTCTTTTTATTTCGCTTGGTTCGGGAGAGAAGGTAAAATTTTATAATGATCAAAAGCCAGGGCTGCAAAATGATTCGGAACCGAACCAGTTTACGTCCAGTTCCAGTTCTTATTGCAAACAGACTCTATTGGAGCTTATTAATTAGTAAAATTTTATAATGATCAAAAGCCAGGGCTGCAAAATGATTCGGAACCGAACCAGTTTACGTCCAGTTCCAGTTCTTATTGCAAACAGACTCTATTGGAACTTATTAATTATGTTAATTAAATACATTAAAACAGGATTCGATTCAATTTTCGATATGATAGTTGGCCAGTTCCAGGGCAGACATAAATTAATAACAAAAAAATTAATATTGTCTGACCTTCAGCAATTGCTAAAAGCAAAAACTGAGCTCAGTAGCACAGAGAACCAGGTTCACGAACCGAATCGAAATGTGAACCATGAAGGGAACTAACGAAAGGCGATAACAGCAAAGGTAGCTCAAAGAAACCCAATCAGACAAAACACCGAAAACCTTGAAAAGGTCTCATTGAAAAGGTGTCCAATTGGATAAATCAGATGGGCAGAATGTTATGGGAGGAACATGCGAATCGATAGACTCACCGTATCCTCGTCGTCATCGGTGTTGTCGAGCTGTTCCAGCTGCAGCTGGGCCAAGGCGTCGCCGTTGTGCGTGTGATTGTGCAGATCCTTGGGCGTGGACTCCTCGGAGATGACCGATTCCGAGGGCAGATTCTCAACAAACGCCACAAAGTTGGCCAGCGGCTCGGTTGGCGACGACGCGGAGCAGTTGCCCACAGATTTGAATTTGCTGTTGCTGGCTTTGGCATGGCTTGGACTGGTCCTGGTGGTGCTCGCAGTGCTGCTGCGAACGGTGGTGACGGTGGTGACATGGTCGATGCGGCGCGTGAAGCGCGAGTTCAGCTTGATGCTGTTCTGTGGCGATGACAGCGACTGCGGTGATGTGGTTGAGGGCGTCTTCACCTGGCCATTGGCATCGCTGTCACCGTCGCCGTCGCCGTCACCGTCGCCCAAGCGCAGCTGTTGCTGAATGAGACGCTCCGCTTCCAGCAGCAGCTCATCCACGGAGCGCAAATCTGTGCTGTCGGCGAGGCGATTCACCTCCTGGAATATGCTATCCGGATCGGCTGGCTCGAGATTGCAGTCCTGCTCCTTGGCCAGAAACTCAATGATCGAGCTGCTGCTGGTGTAGTCCAATGCGTTCAGATCCACGCTCGCCGCATCTCCACTGGCCGCCTCGGCATGTGCTATGGTCACACTCTCGCCGCCCAATTGGCGCGGGCGTGCGCGCACCGACGCCGACGCCGACGCCATTGGCTGCACCTTGGACATGTCCCAATTGCAGCGAATTTCCCTTCTGCTCCAACTGATTCTTCTAATCCCTTTTCGTGCTGTTGTTGCTGTCGTCTACGCCTGGCGCCCACACACACACACACGCACACCAGCGTTCGCGCTGCGCTGCGTTTTGTTTATTTGTTTGCGTTGTTGTTCTTTTGATTTTGGTTCCTTTTTTTTTCAATTTACAGTTTGGACGAAAATTTTACACCCGACCGCCGACGTTGCCGCCGTCTCACTCAATTTAGTCTTTACAGCAATGCGTATATAAAAAAAAGCAAAAAAACAATATATATTTATTTTTGTTACTTTTTAATCTCGCATCATTTTTCCGTCTTGTTTGTACAATTGCCATAAATTACGACTACTGTTCCTTTTGTCATTCACGTGTACACGTTACCGCTCCACAGCTAACAGCGCTGCTCCACACTTAACAGAGCTGACACTGTAGCGGCATTTTATTTATTTCAATTCCATGGAAAACTATTTTATTAAGCAACATTTTTATTTGTTTCTCAAATGTTTTTATGTTTGGCTGTGAGTTAGGATCAAATTTTGCAATAGTTTTGCGTTGAGAGCAAATAATGTTGGCTGTTAAAACATTAAAATAACATTCTATTTTCTAATTTTATTTTTTATCAGCAAAAGAAAAACCAACTTTTTATGCAATAATGATGAAAATTGCTTTAAAAAAACGATTTTATGTACCATCTTTCCCATGCTTGTGTCATAAATTTGAATATTTTTTAAGTTTGCCAACTAGATATTCTTATTCAAACATACAACATAAATTAATTTCTTTTGAATTTTATTTATAAGTTTTTTTTTTTTTCTGCAAGAACAATAATTATATTTAGTGTGTAAGGTTTCCTTATAGATAGTTGTTTTTTTTTTCTTCACATTATCGACAATTTTAAAACAAAAAAATAAATACATATAGTTTGTTCCCGAAATTGAGTTTTTCTTGTTTTTTTTTTTATATATCTCTCTCTGGTTTATATCTCAGTTGTAAGCCTAAATATGACATTTTTCATTTAAACATACACATACATACATACATTTTTAATTACGGATAGAGTTCTTATTTTTGCTTAAACGCTATACGCAATAAAATAACTATATTTTTTTTCTGGTTTGTTTTTGTTTGCAAAACATTACATCTTCTACTTTATACACGTACAAGTAGGTGTGTGTGTGTGTGTGCTTATAAATACATATATATATATATAGTTAAAAAAAAAAAAAGAATATTTAATTATAATTAAAATAGTTATAGAGCATAGAAACATTAAATAAAACCTAGATAGCATTGAATAAAATCGTTGAATAAACAATATGTACAATCGATTATCTGTGTGTGTGTGTGTGTGTGTGTGTGTGTGTGTGTGTGTAAGTAAATATATAATAGTTGCTAATATTGCTTATGACTATATAACGTACACATTATCAGTAGTTAATTTGGATCTTTGAGTGTGTGTCTGTGTGGCTGTTGTGTGTATGCGGATGTGTGTGTGTGTGTGTGTGTGTGTGTGTGTGTGTGTGTGTGCGTGTGTTTGTAGTTAAAACGCTGACCATGCTCATTTGCTATCACTTTTTTGTTTTAAATACAATACAATTAAATATTGCGAAGCTAAGCTGAAAACCGAAGGCAGAGCCAAGCAGAGCACAGCGAAATATTATAAAATATACACATATACATATATATATATATAAAATTGTGTGGTGTGTGTTCACATATACGTAATAGGAAATAAATAATTATATATAGGCTGCAATTGTCAGCAATTACAAACAACATAAATAATTATTATTTTGGTGGCAGGCTTTCAGTGACTGGCGGCGGCGACGGCGGCGTCTTCTGTCTTCCACAGAGCTGGCTTAGTGGTCGTCCGGCATTGATTATCTATGACTGCTGTAGGTCTTAAAGACACGTGGCATGCTACTGCCGCCACTGCTGCCGCTGCTGCTGCTGGTGTTGGTGGAGGTGGTGTTGCCGCTGCTGCTGTTGCTGGCGGCGGTGTTGTTGCTGCTGCTGCTGCTGCTGCCGCCGGTTGCAATGCTTGTGTTGCTGCTGGAAGCATTCGCATCTAGCGTGTGCGCCGCATCATTTGGCTCATGATGATGATGATGATGATGATGATGATGCTGATGATGATGCTGATGCGTCGTCGTCTCTAGATTGAGGGGCATCGGCATCGTATGATCCTCATCCGCATGCTCATAGATATAGTCGCGCTTCTTGAAGTTGTCAATTATCTTCTTAGTGGACTTCATGTGCGCCACAAATGCGGCCTCCAACTGTTGCAACAAATAAATATGTGTAAGCATTCTCGATATTCAATGGAACTATAATATATATACATATATAAAGCAATTGTTTACGCACACTGGATGTCAGGTTCATAAAGGTGTGATATTTCTCCAGCACACCAACGATCTCCTTAAAGCTATTGCCACGCAGCTGCCGCCGCACGATTGTCTCATACTGGACGTTATCGGTGATCAGGTTTCCAATCAATATCGCCGCATAGCTGCCTTTCAGTGTGTGCTCCATGTGATGGCTAGCGCGTTGCACAACTGCAATTGTTCAAATAGCATATATATATATATATATATCAATTTAATATTATATTTATAATTATATAATACAGTTTATGGTTAGATTTCTTCTTTTCAAGTAGTAGCCGCAACTCTTGTCCAGCAAACATATATACCCAAAGATTTAAATGCTTTCACATCTGTCTGTCTGAGTACCTTCTTCCGGAGTATCTTTTAATCTAGTTAAAATCTATATGCTCGTGCGTATTTGTTTCTAATGTAAATATTCAAAGTCTATTTGTGAGTTCTTTATAAATAAACTTGCCAGCTTGGCTTTCATTGCCAGACCCCCTTCTCACAGCCATTGTCATTTGTGGCATTGGCATGTGCGAAAGATACTCGTATTACGTTGCGTATGGCTGCCTTTTCTTTAGAATCGATTTGCGTGGTATTTATATTTGTTTCCAGTATCAACGAATGTCAAGTATCCAGGTGGGTATCCACTTTCATTCGTCCCCAGTCCCTAAATCGGTGCAAATATATATATATATGTGATCTGATGTAACTTACGATTGTTGACTGTCTCCTCGACCTCCTCCTGCTTCTTTTTGCTCTTCTCATTGCTCTCGAGGAAGGCGTCCGTGTTCTTCTCCACAAGTCTGCAAACAAACATAATTATGAAATGAGTGTTATCTTTGTGAAGTGAGGAATAAAGCTATGAAAAAAAAAAACCCACCTGGCCAGCTCCTCGCACTTGTAGAAGTACTCGAGCAGCGCCTGAACCGCACTGACCGCCTGATCACCGGGCGTTGGATTGTCCGCCACATATTCGGCGGGCGCATGGGCCTGCATCAGTGTGGCACGATTGGGCGGCGTGTGCATGCAGAGATTGATGAGCAGGGTCAGCACCTGGCGGAGTTGGCACAAAAGAGTTGGTTAAAATATCATGAATATCAATAGGAATTAGATCAACTCACCAGGATGCTCAGCTCGAAGACACAGCGATCCGGAATGTAGTTGGATGCAAGCAGCAGCAGATGGAAGCTTGTCTCGATGACATCGCTGCGCTTGCCGAGCAGCTCGGCGCCCAGCGAGGGCTGCGCCTCGTTGAACGTGTGCGTCAGATTGATGAGCACCTTCATGACGGGTATGAGGAGTTCGCGCATGGCCACGCCCGGATGCTCCTTGCTGCTGTTCTGCTCGGCCGTGGAAGGATGCAGCAGCAGCTGTCGATCGCATAGCCGGTACAGAAAGCAAAGCGTATCCACGGCCCGTCCCTTGGCATAGGTGAGCATATACCGCTGATTCGCCTCATTGTGCTGCGTGACATTCTCGAGGACGCGCAAACAGCGCGCCACCGTTTGCATATTATCGAGAAGAGCCGGCTCCCAAGCGACCAGGGCCATATCCGTGGCAGCCGTGGCAATCACCGGCTGACAGAAATCGGATATTGTCTTAATAATATGCTCCAGGCCGCCCAGTTTGCGCAGATCCTCCTTGAACCATTCGCCCGCACGCTTTGAGGTTAGCGAGAGCAGCGTTTCCATCGCCAAAGTGCCCACTGTTATGGACTCGACATTCAGATGGGTGCCCTTGCCCTGGGCCTTGATCTCCTCGCATAGTTCGCGCACCTTTTGCTTGTTGCGCTCATAATTGGGACGGTCTGTGTGGGCAGCCACGCCCACGCCTTCGGCTTCCAGCAAATTGATCATCAGCTCGAGCGAATCCCGATCGAGATCCATATTGAGCCCCTCCTGGGAGAGTATATACATAATGGCCGAGGTGCACAGGCCCAGGCTCAGATCCTTGTTGGCATCAGAGAGCGCCTGATTGACGAGAGATTATTCGATTAGATTATTTATTTAAGCCAATGGAGCACACCCCGTCCCTGTCCCTGTCCCCGTTCCTGTTCCTGTCCACTCACCTTGAAGAACTTGGTGACGACGCCGTGGGCGCGCACATGCATACGAAAGGCGGGCGTCATACATTTGGTGGCCAGCTGCAGGGCGGATAGGCAACGTGTGGGCGGTGGATTGTGCGGCTGCAGTGCATCCAGTATGTACTCGACATCGTCATACATCTCCTGGTACTCGCCAATCTCCTGTATCTGATGCGCCGTCTTCACATTCCGCACCACCGTATAGTATTCCTTTGTTTTGCGATCCACGCGCAGACCCGTTCGCTCACCAGCGCCACCTCCACCTCCACCGGCAGCTACAGCTCCAGCTCCAGCGTTGCCGCCGCCGGGACCAGCTTCGTCCGGGCTTGGTTCCAGTTCAAGATCGAAGGCATCGCTTGACGCCGCCGCCGAGGATTGTCCACTGTGCTGTGGCTTGGACTGGCGCGTCAGTTTGCCCAGGGCCGGACTTTCGCCGCGCAGCGCGGAACTGCTGCAGGTATTGTTGTTGGAGTTGCTATCACCAAAGTCACCATAGATGGCATCGATGGTGGCCGCTTTGCCGGCTATCAGGCTGTCCGCTTTGGCGCCTCCGCCCGCTGTCGTCGAGGCGGAGGCATTGCTGGCATCGCTGCCAGTGCCGCCGCCGTTAGCCTCCAGTGCTGCATCCCAGCTGTGCTTGTACAGATGTCGCTTAGCCACCGACGCCTGCTCGGCCTGGTCGGAGGGCACCAGCGCCCGGCTCTTGAAGATGCTGCCCTTCTTCTTTGAGATGACCAGCTTGACGGCGCCGCGCTGCGTCTCCTCGCTGCCGGTGTTGGCGGCACTGCTCGAACCAGACGCCTCCGCAGCAGCGGCGGCGGCGGCGGCAGCAGCAGCAGCGGCATTTGCTGCACCAGCAGCTCCAGCGGCCGCCACCTGCGTATCCAGGGTGAGCGTGCGCTTGAACTTATCCTTGAATTTGTAATCACGCGGCGGCGGCGATGAAGAGGAGCCATCGTGCTGCATCGAGGAGCTGTTCGATGTATTCGATAGCTCATCCATGCCCGGATCTGGCTCCCCATCCAGATCCAGATTCAGATCCAGATCCAGTTCCAGATCCAGATCTAGAGCCAGATCCGTGTGCGGCACCTTGGCCGGCGTTGGCTGGCTATCATCGTTTAGCTGTGCCTCCTGCTGCTGCTGCTGCTGCTGCTCCAGCAGCTTCAGCTTCAGCTGCTCCGCCGTTGTGGCATCCGCTTCGCCGTGTGGCAGCAGCTGCGTTACCTGCTGATTTTTTCGCTTGCGTCCATAGCTACGCGTTCCGCTGGCGGCGCTGCCGGCGCCATTGTCTGTGGTGCGACTGGCCTCCGCTTTGGCGGACAGATTGGCGGCAATTTTGTTGATGTTGTTATTGTTGTTGTTGTTATTGTTGTTGCTGCTGGCCAAATTGTTATTGTTGGCGCGCGCAGCAGCACGTCCGCGTCGCGGCGGCGCCTCAGCCACCTCCAGGGACTTCTCGGGCGACTCGACCAGCTCCATTTCCGTTTCCGTTCTCTTGCTGCCACGCGTGCGTGTGGCACGCTTCGTGACCGCGGGCGCGGGCGTGGACGTTGATGTGGGTGATGCCTCCAACGGCTTGGCGCGCGCTCTTGTGCGCGTCTCCGTGGGCGCCGCCTCCGCATTGCTATTGGTCTTGCGCGCACGCCCGCGCGTTGCCCGCTTTGGCTGTTTGGACTCGGCGGCGGCCGGCTCGTCAACGCCATTCAGACGCGGCACCACATCGCCGCGCAGCACCGAGAGTATGTCCTGCTGCAGCGGCTGCTCCACACGACTATGCAGATCCGTCGCTGATCCCCCCGCAACTGTGCCGGCAGCTGCTGCTGCTGCTGCTGCTGTAGCTGCAGCTGCAGCCGTATTATTGCCATCGATGGTCATCATCATGGACTCGAGGCGCGACTCAATGTCCGAGGGGGGCGCCACCAGTGAGGAGTGCTGGCTGGTCTCTAGATCGCTGGTTATGACACTGGATCCGCGACTGCGTATCACACAGCTCTCCTCCTGCACCGCCTGCGCCAGCAGCTGCGGCGTGCTGTTGCCCTTCGACGAGACGCTGCCCAGCACCGACGACTGCGAATCGAAGTCGTGATCGGAGCGTGTCGTCGGCGATATAACCGAGCCGCGCAATGGCTGTATATGCGTGGGATGCAGCTGCTGTTGCTGCTGCTGCGGCTCGCTCAGCGCCAGATGCGGCGACGGCGTCTTAAACTCCGTATTGGCCAATTCGGCGACCGACGCAGTTGTGGCAGCAACTGTTGCAACTGTTGCTCCTCCTGCTGCTGTTGCTACTGGTGGTAGGCTGGGCTGCAGTTGCTCGACTAGCTGGGCGTGCTTTAAATGTTTATGCTTTTTACTTTTGGATTTCTTTTCGCTGCGCGACTCCTCGCCAGCGGCCTTAGCTGCAGCGGCGGCGGCTGCTTTGGCGATCGCGTTTCGTATGACGTCCGTTTTGATGATCAGCTTCAGGCGCTCCTTGGGCGGTTTGTCTGGTGAGATTTTCACAGTGCAATAATTGATTTCGGGCGGTTCTTCCTCTTCGTCTTCTTCCTCCTCGTCCTCTTCTTCTTCGTCGTCGTTGTTCGTTTTCTCGATCGCTGCGTGCGTCGCTGCCAGCGTTAACGCTTCGCTGCCAGCTGATGCGTCCTGTGCTTCTGCCGCTGTCGGCGGTCGCAGCGGTTTTACAGTTATTTTTGGCGTACTTGCAGGAACTATGGCTTCTATTTGATCGGTCAGCGCATTGCTGGGCGTCTCGTATGGCTGCTGCTGGTGCTGGTGCTGGTGATGCTGCTGCAGCTGCTGTGCAGGCGAACTATTTGGCGGCTCCTCGCTGTCCGTGCTGACTAAACGTGAGGTGCCCTGCAATTGAAAACGCCAAATAATTCCATTGTTTATAACACAATTCGATCTAACTGTGCACTTGTGTGGGGGGGGACGTTCTATTTTTTCAGCCGTAATTAACACTTGGCTAACGGCAGCGACAACTGTCGCGCAGCAGACACAAACAACAACTGGGCCTAAGCGGCGGCAGTCAAATGAAAACGTTGTTGAAAAAACAGAAACTCAAGAAAAGAAATGGGAGAAAAAAAAAACCTCCGTTTAATGTAAAAGCGCGCGTAATTTAACACTGGCGCTGCTTGCTGCTTGTTGTTATTGTTGTCGCTTTCTCTTTCCCACACAGCGCTTAAAGAGCGCTTCAAGCCGAAATGTTATGGGGTGCGTGACTGTGTGTGTGCGTGTGTGTGTACGAGAGCGAGCGAGAGGCAGGGAGGGATCGTCTCTCGCTGAGCGCGTCACTCGTGCGCACAGTGGTTAAGCAGACGATTCAAATATGTCAACTGCGCACAAATGCAACTCAGGCAATTTTTTGTTGCTTTTGTTGCAAGAGTTAACATAATTTTATATTTACAAAAAAAAAAAGTAATCAATTTATATACCAGGTTTGTTTTAAAACACACCAGATATTAAAATCTTGAATTTATGCGCAGAGCTCGCTCGGAAATCAGAAAATTATTGTGACAATTATTTCTATATAACATAGCCAGGATATTTTGAATATCTGTCGGAGTTCGCCAGCTCGGAATACTATATGTACGATATGCCGGAAATTGATTTCTTTTATAAAATTAACTTCTTTTGTTCTTTAAGAGATATTAACAACACCAAGAAAATGCTCTTAACATATCAGGAAAATCTTATCAACGTCAGCCTATTTTACCATCAAGCTCCAATTGGAAAAATAGCTGGGATATAGAAAAAAAACTATCTGTGTGGCTATTTCTATATAGAAATAGATTGACAATCTATTTATATATATAACTGTCTTGACTGACAGCTCTATAATGTCAAAGTTTCGCCCATCTAACTTATGTTTAAAGCTTAAAGAAGCGGTTTTGAAAATTCCACTCGCAACTGTGGAAAATTGGCGGAAGACGGCACATATTTTGCATGCCATACGATTGACTTTAAACGCATTTTTAAAGGCCGCATTTGAGGCGTGTTCTAAACTTTCTGCACAATCCACCCCTCTTGGATGGAAAATGTAGGTCAAAGGTTGTATTTGCGAAAGTTTACCTTTAGCTTTAAGCTTCACACCAAGGGACCAATTTTGGTTCTTAAATATGAATATAAAATATAGCTCGAGATGTGGCGGGTCGATGTACATTTTGCAGCGTCGGGAAATGGGTGGAAAATTGAAAAATAGACACCGGTCAGGAAAGGGAAATGCCAGCTAGTCTGTTATAGAACTGCCTCTGGCCGTTTAATCTTCGGCAAACCGAAGTCGTTCGCTCTGTGGCCTTGGCACAGGGTTAGATGTGATCTCGTCAGCAGCTCCAAACACTCACTTTGGAAATGCGCAGAACAATTGGCGGATGTTCGGGCGTGCGGGAAGCACTGGATGAGGCGGATGCAGATGGCACTGTAGTTGGGGCCATTGTGGAAGCTGAGGCGGCTGTGATGCCAACGGCTGCTGCACTGGGCGCCGTCGTTGGCGGAGGAAGCGCTGGATTCCCATCTGCTGCTGCTGCAGGGGTTGCGGCTGGGGCTGGAGCTGGGGCTGCTGGTGTTGCAGCATCCTGGGATGCGGCTGTTGTTGTTTCGGGCGCACGCGTTTTGGGCATAACCAGATCTTTGATGGGCGTGGGATAGCGGTCGTCCTCGTCCACTTCGCAGTAGTTGACCGCTTTGCGGGCGCGCCCCAAGATGCGGGATGGCGGCGCCTCTGGCTTTAGTTTCTTCTCCTCCTTGATTTTCTTCTTCTTGCCCTTGGGCTCAGCCGTGGGCGATGCGCCCGCAGACAGATCCATTTGATCAGCTGCATCCAAGGCCAGGCCATCGCCTATTTCGGCGGCACCAAACGCACCTGGCGTTAAGGCAGCCGTCGTTGCCGTTGCCGCTGCGGCCGCCGCCGTCGCCTTCTTCTTGGGCGACTTACGCTTCCGCTCTGCGGAGTTGCCTTTGGCCAGCTTGAGCTTGATGGGTTCCCGTGTGGGCGTCATGGCCGCCTGATCCCGCATGGGTGAGGTGCCGGCGACACAGTGCGGCAGCTGTTGTATTATCTGTGCGATCACCTCCGGCGGCGCCGCATTGCGCGACTTGAAGAACTTCTTGGGCTTGGGCGGTTCCGGCACCGACACAGACATATCGTTCGGATCGTGATCGTGCGTGGAGGCCGGACTCTGGGCGGGACTGGCGGCAGACGCAGCAGCAGCCGCCGCCGCGGCCATGGGATGCAGTGCGGATAGCGTATAGGTGCGCGTCGATGTGAAGCCCATCTTGCCCCATTTGCCCACTGTGCCGACGGAGCGGGCCACCGTCGGCCGATTGGTGTTCTCCTTCTCCTTGCAGAGCGAGTCCAGCGGCACGACAATGTTCTTGCCCCAGCGCGACATCTTGACGGGAGGCGGGCGCGTTGCAAGTGCCACTCGGTTTTGCAGAATACTTCAGTTCGAGTTTCGCCTTTTGTTGCGATTATTTTTCCTGTTGTTTACAATTCGTTTATGCGATGGTTGGCGCGCGTGGCCACTTGATGGCAATTGCAACAATTACACTGCAAGTGGAAAAGGTAAATATGAGCATTATTTTGAAAATTAACTACTGCAACATTCAAACTTTATTATACATACATGTGTATATTAAAATTATAAAAAAAAAACACACTTAAGCGGAGCTTCCCGCAGCAAATGTCAAGAAGCAACAACAACAAAACACAACAAACGAGGTGCCGTAAGCTTTGCGTGCGTGCGAGCGAGCGCACACTATTGTCAATTGAGCGCACAGTGTGCGAGCGCGAACGATTTACCATTTTTATTGTTGCCAAAAAACAAAAAAAAGAGAAACAAAAATGATACAAAAAACACAAGTGAAACAAATCAATGCACATAAACTTATTTGTTGCACTTTGAGTTGTTCTATTTATATTTGAAGTATACACGCTTTGTAAACTGTACAAACTCTGTATTCATGTTTGCTGCATGCTCACCTGAAACAAAACATTTGTGTTGCGGCCAATGTTGATTGTTGTTTGTTGTTGTTGGTTGCGCTGCGTTTATTGCGTGAATGCATGTGGGTATATGTTTATGTATATGTGTATGCATATACATGCAAGCATACATATGCATATGTATGCTCGAAAATCTCTGTTGCTCTGTATGTATGTATGTGTGCGAGCAGGAATGCAATAAAACAGAAACAGACAGAAACGTCGTCGTCGTTCGCTTATTGGCGCAATTTTGTGTTGCACGCGCGAATTTTCTTAGCTACTTTTCACGTTTAACGCACTCGCACCACACCAAATTTATAATAATAACTAACGCACTGTTGCCGCTGGCTGCCCAATGTGCATAGTTAGTGGCAATTGCATGTTTTTTGTTGCACACATTTTCCACCACTTTTAACGCAGCAGCATACGAAAATCGCAACGAATCAGGTACAACAACAGCTACAGATTATATACATACAAATCACTGTTTGTGCGTATATTGAAAATATTGCACATTGCGAACACACGAATTCAAATACGTTCAAAAATGCAGATTTGCCGTGTTTTGTCAAAGCAATTGAAACTCTTTAAAAACACACAAAAATATTTAATTTTTTCTTCGCAACTACGTTTTAGAGTGACCAAATTTTGTTTGCGTTGTTCAGCTTGGCATTCGCCACGAACGCTCAGTGTTGTGTTTTTTCATTATACGTTGCGCATTTTTGCGTTTAGCGCTGCTCAATTTGCGTTCACGTTACACATTTGGCGTACATTGTGCTGCCAACTTAAAGTGAACGCAAATTTGCGCGCAGCTCACTTAAGGTGAGTGCGCCTTATGCGCGCAGCCAACTTTAAGCGTTTGTCAAATGTTTGAGCGCAGCCAACTTCAAGTAAGCGCCGAATTTAAAGATCGATTTGAATTGCATGCGTTTATTATTATTATTGAATTATGGTTTATTGATCAGCTTAAAGCTATCTGTGACGCTCTGCTGTCCATTTACAATATACGCCAGCGGATCATCTTTGCTCGACTCCATCAGATGCTCGCACAAAGTTTGATTAATGGCAAACATGAACGACAAGTCAATATCATAGCGTGGCAATTTCTCTCTAATGAAACACGTTCAAATTAACGTTTGCAATATGCACATTTGCACAAGTTGTTGTGCGACTCACCTCAAAAATGTAATCACATTATCGCCCAGCGTGGTCTGCCTCGAGAGCAGCAATGCGGACAAATATCGCGGATGCTTCTTCTTCTCGGCACAGTGCATGATTAGACCCCAGCTCCTATAATCCGTATCCAGCACATAGGTATTGTAAATGCCCTCGTCTGTGCGTGAAATTTGAAAATATATACTCAATACAATACCGGACAGGCCTGGGCTTACATATGTCCTCCGTGTGCATCCAGTGGCCGGGCGTGCCAAAGTCCGGTATTAGCCACGTGATGTTGCCCTGCAGCTTCTCGCGCAGCGGATCTTCGGCAAAGATGTAGCTAAAGTTCATCGTGATCTGCGGTCGATATTAATTGCATGTATGTGCTAGTAGAATAGCTGTAGAATAGTATAACCACGCTTTTTCACGCATTTTCCACACTTGCGAGTGGAATTTGCCAAAGTCTTCGAATAGGCCAAGTGCAGCTACGTGCAGCGTCTAGCTGCACACGGCTTGCGCTCTTGATTACCAATCCGTCAGTCAGTCAGTCAGTCAGTCAGTCAGCCAGTCAGTCAATCACAAGATTGATGTACTCACATGCTGATCCTCGCTGGAGAAGGCAAAATTGCTGCGCATGCACGCATATTCCGGCAGCTCCTCGGTGGAGGCATAATATTGGACCACATGCCAATTGCCCATCATTAGCTCCAGATCAAAGTTGCGTATCGCGCGCACCTGTTGTGTGGGTGGTAAAGAGAGAGGGAGGGCATAACGGCGGGGGGGGGGGGGGGGGGTTGATGATGGTAGAAAGTTAACACATAAATAAATCAGAATAACAACAGCAAAGTTTTCATTGAGGCAAATGTGCGTGCCAGCTGAAATTAAACCACACACACACACACACACACACGCACACACACACATCCCACAAAAATCTAGTTGCATGTCACTTTGTGCATTTGTTCAATTTGTTTCGAGGCTTTGGGCTGTGCGTCTTGCAACTGCCACAGAATAAAAATTGAAAACAAAAATGAGAAGAACACAAACAACAAACACAGAAACAAGTGTAAGCGTGCTACAGTCGGGTCTGTTCGACTGCCAGATACCCTATACACAGCAACGAGTTGCACACACACACACACACATGCATAGACATGCGCTGCTTATTTCTCCAATTTACATTTCCAGTTTCTTATCGGAATAAAAACGTATAACCACCTGGCTTATGTTCAGATTCTTATCAGATCTCTATACAGATATCCCTTTAGTTAGATAGATATCAATGTGTTTGCCCGAAAGAAGGTATAGGTATAGATATCCTAGAGAGTTTACTAGCACGGCCATCTAATATTTACCATTTAAATTATACTGAATCTACGCCCAACTTTTGATATCTTCAGTTTTTCTGAATCTGAAGATATGCCCGAAGTGCGGCGCTTGCAAATCGATATTTATCGATTCTATGGAAGCAAAATGAAAATTGCAAATTTGAAAGCTTTTGATTGATCAAGATCTGTGAATATGAGCAGAGATATTCCGCACTGGAATTCGCAGCTTCCTAGCTTCCTAGCTAGATACAATGGCATACACTTGCCCAACTGGAATATACCCTGTTTTAACTATTTTGCCACGGCTACAGGGTATACTTATACACAACAAAATCCGCTGCACTTGAGCGCCTGTCAACGTTGCGGCCATGCCGATGGCGACACCGACGCCGACGCCGATGCCGCTGGTAGCAGCGACTGCGGCAGCGACTTCGGCAGCGACTGCGACACGCGGACGTCGGGCACTTAGAAAGTGTGATTGATTTTGGCATCAGTGTGCGCCCATTTCTTTGCCCCCCCAGACACATTCTGAATGAGAGCCTGACTGACTCGCATATTGATGAGAGAGCACACACACACACACAAGCACACACACACACACACGCACACACTGGCATGCAAATGTCTGTGTACACTGAGACAAATATTGCTATACTCTACATGTTTCTGCATCATATCAGAGCTCAGGCAAGTGTAACTTATCGATAGCTTTGCATGTTATTGTCACATCGATAAATATCGATTTTAAAACCCGACTTGCATATGGCTTATGGACTATATAATGGGGATTTTAACGATTTTTCGACACCTGCCACAAACTCTTTTGAGTGTATTGGACTTCTCCCTAAGCACAGCAAATTGTGGAGTCGTAGATGTCTTCTCAAGAGAACTTTCACTGTACGATAAAAAGAATTGTTGATGTTTTCTTTGTGCCTCGCGTACTGAATTGTGAGAAATATGAAATTCTATTGCTGCACTGTAAAAATGTCAACAGATTTCCAATGACTTTATCCGCTAAGCAATTTGGCCAGCTTATCCGAACTATCCAGCCGAAGGTAAGCTGTATTTATTTGGCACTCACATTTGGACATTTCTTGCGCAGATCCGTGCGCTTCCGGCCGAGCGCCGTGTAACTGTTAAACTTCATCCAGGCCGTGGCGCTGGGCAGCTCCGTCAGGTCGATCAGCAGCGGCAGCAGCAGCAACGGCAGCACCTGAGCTGCCCTCTGCGAGAGCAACATGCTGCAGCGGATAAAGATGCGTTGCCAATTGGAATCGGGATAAGGATATGCTGTGTTTGTTTTTGTTGCTTATCCGCAAATTGAGCGTTGGGGCTTAGACTCGCGCGCTGCCCGCTGCGTTGTGGCTGGCACTGCGATGCCGTTGCGAACGGATGCCGCGCAGCGGATCCATTCTTGGCGGATAAGACGCCATATACATATGTACTAAGTATATAAATACAGTTACATACATACATATGTATATGCGTACATATTACACAGTATTCATGTAGATTTTTATTAAAATGTTGCGCGTTGTTTTTGTCGCTGTGGCTTATTCATTATCGTAGCTGAAAATAAAACGCACACACACACACACACATGCATACATAGGCTAGTGTTGACAGCTTGGCTATTTTATAGCTAGCTTAAGCGGCCACAATTGCATTAACTCGCGCTTAACTCGGTTTTAGCTGCCTAAAAATCACTTTTCTGTTACATTTATTTGTTGTTGTTTTGTAACGTTATAGTTAACATCAATTTAGCTTCAATAATTCCTTCAAATAGCATCCCTTTTCCATAACGAGCAGCTTGTTTCTAGCTAGGTACTTTGGCTATCGCTAAGCACTTGCCCTGCACTGATTTAGTGGACTAGCGGTACATTGCGAATCAGTTGGAAACAGTGGCGCATGCACTGACAACAATACACGCATGTGTATGTGTGTGCGTGTCGTGGTGTGGCAATGCGTCATTTTTTTTTTAATGGAATATTGATATTGGAATGCGTGTAAGCATCCAGCAAATGCCGTCGCTCTCAATCTTATCATTTCCAGTCGCCTACACATAAACATATTGTGTGTTGAGTAATTAATATTTGTGCTGTTTTCATGGCGCTGGCACCACTGTGCCAGTGCACTTTGGATTCCACAGACAGGGACAAGTATGTATGTACATATGTATGTATGTATGTGTATGTATGTATTTTTGGCTGCATTTGGAGTTTTGGCGCGTTGCGTCTTAAGCACATTTTGAGTTTAGTTTTGTTTTTATTTTTTTTTGTCTTTTGCCAATTTATTCGGTTTTCATTTGAGGTTGTCGCCTGAGCGCATTGATCTCGGCCCGTTCCCTTTGACGTTTTCTCAAGACCCTGGCAACAGGCTGCACAAGCTACATACATACATACATACATACATATACATAACTTTCTCGCGGCACTTGTTGGCCCTCGCGGGTTGAGGTGGTTGGTGCGGGAGCGCGCGCGGTGGGGGGGGGGGTGGGTTAGCCGATGATAAAGATGAAATCTGTTTGTTGTTTTTCTTGGTGAGACTGTTAAAAAGGTATGCAGCAAACAGGAAACACAAATTTATTCTTTACGATCGCGAGAACAGCCTTTGGACACTTTCTCTTTATTGCGAAACTCGTTGGGCGGCATTTTCACGCAGCCATCGCACATTCGACATCCACATGCAGTGGATGCAGCATCCGCAGCATCCACAGCATCCACATCCATATACACATTCAGCATCCACATCACAATCCACAATTGACATCCTCACCAGCAGCAGCAGCAGCCGCGTTCGGGTTCTGCCTGCAGGTGGGGCGTCAACGCTGACGTCGACGCTTACTGCGCATCGTCTGCGCGCAGCGTCTTCACTTTCCTTCTTCCGCCAGCGCTTGCGTCCGCGTCTCTGTCTGGTTTGCTCAGTTGGTCAGCCAGCCATTTAGTCAGTCTGTCAGTCAGTCAGTCAGGCAGTCAGGCAGTTGGCCAGCCCAAAAACGGCGCAACTTTCGACGAGCTGCCGCTGCGGCGCGACGGCGACTGCATCGCTTGGCCATGGCCATGGCCAGTTCCGGCTTTAGCGGTCATCTCTCTGCAGACGCAGACGCAGACGGAGACGCAGTCGGCGGCGAAACGGACAGACGTCT